AAGTAACTGCACTGAATTCATGGTTAACATTCATGTTGGAACCAAGGAATTATTGCCATAATAATGAACGCCATAAATAGAATAAAGCAAGCAGATGACTTTCAAGCTATCAATGAGAATGTTTATTAAATACACTTGTTCGCGTTTACAAGTTGCAAGTTTTCAAATAAGAATTGAGAATTCTTTATTTGTTTACATTCCTAGTTATTTATCTCTTGTCCTTACAATGAAACACAAGACAAATGATTTTAACACAAAAAGTATTACCAAAGTATTACCAAAGTATTCAAAGTAAAAAGAAAGTTTGAAAAATTATTTATTAGAAAGAGTAGCGCAACTACATTTCGAATTGCATTTTATAAAGTTCTGTCATCGCTTTTCAGCATTATGATGCAATTGCATTGGAAATATGTTACTATACTGTAGAGCTTATTAACCAGCACTTGTTTCTCAGAATCTTAAGTGCACATTTATTTGAGCTTAAAAGTGCATGTATTCACATTTATGTTGAAATGCGAAAATATGTATAGATGAGTGTGCCTGTGAACACAAAGTTTACGTTCGTTCATTAGACAAACGTGAAAAAGTAAACAGTCGCGACTTTAATGTCTTCTTTTGTCTCGACTTTACCAACGTATGGTTAATAATATGGCCCAAAATTTCAAAGTTTTCTTAAAGTGATTAGATGAGAAGAATGCTTCGCTCATTTTTGAAAAGATATTCATGGAAGTTAAAAGTTGAAGATATTGATTGCATAGCTCCATTTTTCAGAGTGTACTACTTTCGCATAGGAGAAGCGTTTGAAAATGCTGTAGAAAAATGTCTCCACCTTTTCGAGGCAAAAAGATTTACGAAGCAAATGAGGGTTGGAAGCTTTAGATATAACGTAATCGTGTCCTCGCATTCATATTTCGAGAATTATTTCCCAAATGCATTTTGATACAAATGTTGCAATTATTTATGCGTTACAAAGAAATTTAATTTACTTTGCTGGATCTATATTTGCGCTTAAGGCATTTCATCTAGAGAGCTGCATTGACAAAATCTGTCTACTATTTGCTCAAAGCATGTCGAGGGGTTTTTGAAATTTCCCCCTTTGCTAAATGTTTATAATAAGCATTTTTGGTTCCTACTCTCTTCTAAAGACATAAGTTTTACTTGACCTTTATTGGTTGTACGTACGGCAGAGGCACATTTCGTGCTATTGTGCAATTCTTGGACTTAGCAAGAACTGCAGTTTGGATGGGGTGCAGCAACAATCGTACAGTTAAGTTAAAAATGTTTTGATCTCAATAAATTTTCGAAGATAAATTGGCTGGTAACATGGCTTGTCCAGAACGCAACACGGACATTATTTTCACCCTTATGTATAATCAAACGCAGGAACGTTCAGTCACAATGGATTATTACGAGATAAATTAAATTTATAATATCTCCTACCAGAGGAGAGATTGTTCCCGGCCCGGCTCAGAGCAAGTAATTCGAACCGATTTCGTTGACTGTACGCTAAACTTTCTTGTAGACAATTTTGATCGAGTTTACTTAGGTCTGAAAGAGGAGATAAATCTCTTTCCTTAATATTAAATACGAATACGATTTTCTCATTTAAAACATGCAAAGTAGGAATGTGATGAATGATGAGTGATGAGTTGACGTTTTATAAAATAGTGCAAAGTTTGTTTGTTCAATTATTGAATATTTTGTTAAATTTTGTCTTATTTCTTTTTGTCTGGAAGTATTAAATACTCTGCTGGATGACGTTTTAAAAATTTCCGGTTTCACTATTTTGAACGCATTGGACACTAGAACTCAGTGCTATTTTACTTGTTTAGTCACTTTTATATCCATAAACTAATGATGGGGACATCTTAGACATCCGTCCTTGTATCTGTAACAGTCCAAAATATATATGTCGCGCTCTCTTATCTCTAATATAATCGTAATGCAAAACCAATTTAATTTTCTCCATTTGCCCATCTATACAATAATAATCGATAGTTTTTGTTTTAAAACTTTCGGACAGAAAGAGGCAAAAGCGCTTTTCGCTGCTGTTAAAAAATTCTAACATAATTCTTCTTCAGTTAGCGCTCTAAGAAGCCCCTATGTAAATCCAGTCGACTTAACCTCTGCCCATCCCGGATATATAATTTTATTATTTTTAATTATGTAATAAGTCACGAGAGTTTTCTAAAAATAGTTTAGTTGTCTTGCTGTGGCTTTGAACATAAATTCTTCATAAACGAAGATAATAGAAAATGAACTCTCCGGCCTGTCACATTCGTACTTCCTTGTACAAACGAGAAATTAATAAAAATAGAAATATAAAAAGTGATGAAGGCTGTAGTTCTTGGATGACAGTTCCACTGATGCTTTTTTTGTATGCTCGTGTTCATGTACTTAGATTAGTTAGCAAAATATACAAACGTAGGCACAACCTCACATAGCCTAACTAGATTTAGATTTCACTATATTCTTGTCTCAAATTTTTTTTATTAATCCCTTACGGTGAACTGTACAACCCAGTTAAATCGGTTCCTCAATTAGCCCAGAAAGCAAGATCAAAATAGAACGATATATGAATATACGCAAATACACCATTTTTCAATAGGGATCGCTACCAAATTATTTATGGATTTTCGTAAGTTCACATCTCTTTCGGAAAGTTGATTGAAGCGCGCAATAATTTACATAAACATACATTTCAGGTGTATGGTTGGGGGACGAACGACAGCAAATAGTTAAATAGAACGATAACATGGGTGCTTAGTGTGTGAGGGACGCAAGCATGATCCTAAGGGGCATACACAATCACTCTCTGAAGCGATTTAAGCCTGTTCGTTTGTCCGTTCGCCTGATTCTTTTGTTTTCTTATGCTCGACTTGCAGGTCGCAAATTTTGAGATATTTTGATACCATTTGGTCCAAGATCCAATGCTATTGAAGATGCTTGGGATTAGAGCACTTTTTCGAGCACTTCAAATGCAACATCTGATTTTGAAAAAATAACTATATGAATAACCGGGTTAAACAGTTCGGTGTAGGGTATTTAATGGTGGGGGTGGCCCGTTATAGTGCTTTTACTTGATTTTTTTTTACCTTGATTACTTTTCCAATTGATTTGTATAGATTAGTTTTAGTATCATTTATAATCTTCTCTCAATTATTCATAATCTGTGTAGTAGCAATAATTAATTATTGAATAACAAAGCGGACGTGCGATGATAATGTTTTATCGATTGGGGATTTCTTTTTAATCGAAAGTGTTTTTATTTCAAGTGCTTTGTTCATGTTTCGAATGAACGTTTTCATTCAGTGCTATAGACAAGAGAAAGTTTTATTCTCGTTCTTCTACGAAGAAAGACTACGTAGATACGTTTCGGGCAAATAACCAATGTAAGAATAAATTTGGCATATTTCCCTTTAAATTTGTGGTGATATATGATTGTGTGTTTGGGCGCATCTGGCTTACATCACTTCACTGAAATAAGAATTTCCTTACCGCACATCATAGAAATAGCGCATGCATCTATAAATATTTTGGGATGAACGTTCTTCATATGTAATGATAATGACATAAGTAGAATAAAGATCAAGAATTTGTACGATGGCAATGCCAATGATCGCGATACGAATTGTCGCAGCAGTCGTTGCCTTTTAAATAAACAACGATCACTCTGCACTTCAGGCACACTCGTGTATGGTTGAATTTAGGTTTCTATCTAACATTAGCTTTTAAATATAATTGATATTGTGTTTGTTTGTATAAGGCGTGAAGCAAAATTTGTCCTATGTTTGCATGTCATATCATATTCAGAAATACGCATTAGATTTCCTACACAGAATGTATGCGTTCTCTGTCAAAATTAGATTTTCTTCGATTTAACAACGATTGCCGAACAGTTCGTTTAGTCTGCTTGTTGTCTGATCTGTTGTTTAAATACTTAGCTTCGCGAACATTCAGACAGAGGACTTGAATCAGAAATCTTAGTTAATAATCACTGATCAAATTCAGATGTGAGCCTACTCTGCAAGCAATTTTCGGAAAAAGTTGTATGAAGAAGAGCAGAGTTCTTTCTTAGGCACACTCTTACAACTAAAGCAATAGCATTCGCTTTCCTTTCCTTTGGATGCTCCAGCGTGGAGTCTTCCTCGTCCTAGTTAAATTCTATTTCTATCCTGCTTTCATAGAAATCGATAGGTGTTTTACCACATTTCTAGAATGCATTCTTAGTCTTGCCTTTTGCAGACCTGGCCCGGTGTAAGAACTTTGTTTATATACAAAACAATAAAACTGGGGGTATTAAAAACCGTGACTGAGCCAAATACAACGTTAAACCTTGCGTAATTCTTGACGATTTTAGCACATGGTCAAAAACTGTGAAAAGCGACCGTGTACAAGCCCACATGATCCAAAAGACAATTCGATTAATTTTTCACAGTTGGACCAACAACTGATTTTGTTTTCATTTGGGTTAACAAATAATTAGTCTTACAAAAATGGTCGAAGAGCACTTTTTAGACCCACACCGATTGAGGGTGTTATGCTCGTTTTATTAAAACGTTTGCAACAGCCGGAAGAGAGGTTCGGAGATCACACAGAATATATATGTCCTTCATCACCGTTAAATTCCAAACCGATTTCAGCATTTCCGTTCAGTCCGTTTTCCCGTTTATTTGTTTATTTAACTGTGGTGAACATCTTCCTTGTCGGCAAAAACATTCACAGTTATTGCAAGCGTGTTGAAATCGAGAGAGAGAATGGGTCACATCGTTCAAATTACAGGCACCCTGTAAAACGTAAAGTGAGAACACTTCTGCTTGCCAAATCATGGGCGTGTTGTCCATCACCCATCGACAGCAACAGCAAATATTTGTGTATTCTATTTTAGTATAAAGGCGGTGGGTCCAAAGGGTTCGGACACAGCGAGATATAATATTTTTACTTGTTAATTTTAACTTTAATAAATGGTAATGAAAAATCATCTTCCCGTTTCACAATAGCGGAAAGTGACCTTTTAACAATCGCACAACGTAAAACGCATTACGAATGTAACAAATCATATCACAAGGAGCTCTTCACAATCGACACGCGGCCATGCAGCGTATATCTACTGTACGAAGAAGCTGGAAAAGTTACGCAAAGTTTCGACACACAGCCTTCGCAAACTTCGGAACATTCACTTTTTACGGGTTTATCGGGCCTTGCAAGTGGTCATGTAATCGATATTGAATCGACATGTATTCGAGACATAAACAGCTCTGTTTTTGGAAACGATGTTTTTTCGCACTCATCTTTTCGTGCGAATAAGATATCCAAAATGCGCTTTGACGCGGACATTGAGATAAGATTGGTAAGTCTTTTATTGATAATACAAAACATGTACGTATTTAAATTTGAACTCGCAACACATGCCACATATAAAAGCCGCCCGTTTTCATGCGAATTTGTGTCTTGTGTAATTTCGTCATCGTATATATTCGATATAAAAACCGAAATCAAGTTTAAAGGTAAATTTGGGGGTATATTCCACAGCTTTAAAGAATCGTGTAAGATGAAAAATCTCTAAATATTTTCCCAAAAAGAACGTTCAAAAAAGTAATATTGAAATAAAAATAATTTTTTTTTACTACAAAAAAAACAATTTTGTGCACAGGAGAAAGCAATTCCTTAAATAATATAACTATATAAGTATACGCCCTAATAGAACAAGTTGCTGACAAGGTCAAATTTAGAATAAAAAAACGTTTTTCTACCGCATTGCTTCCAGATGGAGTAAAGAAAGACCGTGTAAAAAAAAGTTGCGTGTATATATAAAAATCTTCATACACGCAAGTTATTTTTTCTTGTTTTCACTGGTGAACCGCGTTACTGTAAAACGGAGTGAAGAAAGACCGTGTAAAAAAAGTTGCATGTATATATGAAAGTCCTCATATACGTTTTATTGGCAATTAAAAAATCTGATGCAATAGTCTTTTTATTTTTTACTCCTGAGCGCTTTCTTCCCTTTTCTGATCAAATTGAAAAACTTTCAATAGAAGATAAATTTTCGTACAAATTGATGTCTAGCAGTATCGAGATTAGAATTTAAAATTTTTTTGCAAGAATGATCCGTATGGCTTTCCGGAGCACAATTACATTTTTATATGTTTTCGGTTGTTCAGTAAAAATTCAACCAATGACATTTGAACAATTATGTTTTTTGTCCATCTTATTAATGCGTCTTAAATTGAAAAGGATGATTTTTAGTTTGAAATGCCTTTGCGATTAACATTACATTGAATAACTAACTATTCACATCGGACAACACCGTTGTAATTTCTAATTTAGTTCATTCGCAGGCAATTTTCGGGGAAAATTATGATATATTTCACGTGTGCCATTTTCGACTTTTTAACGTTGGTTATGGAGATCCGCTCCTTTGACGTAGCTGTTGGCCGTTTCAGCTCTCTGTTTAAACGTACGCCACAACACGTATCTTTCAAGTCCGGTTTTTTTTTTATTCACTTTTTTTTTATACATATAATTTGCACAAAATGTTAATAGACTAATTATAAGTTGTTCTAATCGACTGTGATAATTAATTTTCGATCCTCTAATTCTATAATCAGGAAGATGTATTGTTGCACATTGTACTCGTGTCGGCCATTCCATTGCTTAATAAATAGTACAGGCAAGACTCCTATAAGACGATTAATCCCGCGTTATATGGAAACCGTATTATGTTAATCCTCAGAATTGAGCCAATTCAGGGAAATCATTTTGCGGAACCCGATTTAAGAGAAGCATAGAATTAAGGCAAATCAAATTAAATTGTACCGCGCATGTAAGAAAGTCATAGTTAATACATATGAATGAATAAATGAACGGGTGCCGCTTCATAGAAAATCTCAGGAATAAAAAATTTAAAGAAAGCAAAGTCGTATTCTTTGCGCATTTCTACGGACAAGTCCTTGGGAATTGGAATGTGGAGTGGCTCATATGCGCCAACACCGAACAATTGCGGCCATAGACAGATTTTTCAAGCCATTTGAGCGCTGGTGGGTATGCGCCCTTAGAGAGAAGGCATTACAAGATAATTGCCCTAAATATCTTTTCCCGTTTTATGGAAATTGTTTTGCAAAAGCACCGCGTTATGAGAAACTTAACTGTGTATGTTGGCTCAGTGAGAGTGTTCTGGTTAGTAAAGCTAAGATTTATGATTGCAGTATTTTGAGAACTATTATTACCTCGGCTACTGCTGGCGCAATGCTGCTGTGGACATACGAATGTAAATCTTGTCGGAGATTCGTGAAATGTGCCCCGAAGTAGAATATTTCATGATTTCAATGTATACAATTGCTTTAATGCGTATACTACATTAATTTTATACTAATGGTTCTGCCATATTTACATTCAAAAAATACGTAATAACAGATTTGAAAGGTCATCTGTTATTATGCACACGTATGTTTCTCAAAAAGAAAGAAAAAAGTCAGTTGCCGTAAGAGATAATAGAGAAAAAAAGACAAAATGTGTGAAGAGTTAGGTTTAAGAAAGTTGGTAAAAAAGATGGGCATACAATGTTGTATGAAGTGTGGTTGCATATATTGGATGGGTGTACGTGCAGATCGGCTTAATATCGACTATAAATGTGAACTCTCTTGATTTGACTTAATTTGATATTTCAATTGTCAGTAACAATGCCGAAATTAAATGAGTCTAAAGTGTTGAGATGAGAACAATTTTTATTCGTTAGTGATTTTTATTTCCTTTTAATTAATTCGGCATTCTATGGTTAAGATCCTCCTTAAGTCAAAGTCTTACTTAATTAGGCGAACGTCATTCTTTTGAAACGTCAGGTATCTTATTGATAGCTTGCCTATCCTCTTTGAGCTTTAATTATTCAAAACACAGATCTCTACCTATACTTGAGAACATTGGATTATCGTTTATAGGAAAACATACATACGTTTATTAGCGTGTGAATCGCATCGCACAGATATTATATTTTGAAAATCTTTTGTAAATGGTTGAGAAAATTTTTTATTGATTTTACAATATCATCTTTTAAATACATTTCCAGCCTGCAGCTATAGAAGATTTGCGCAAGTGGACATCCACAGAAGCTGTTGGAGATGTGACTGTCACTCCAGATTGTATACATCATGTTGATGCTTTATCTGACGCATCTTTTCTAATTGGTGAAAATGCTTCACCGTCTCTGGCGCCATCTCCGTCCATACCTTCCGCAGATGCGGCTGATGCCATTTCAACCATTAATATCAACCATGCCATGAATATAAACAACTTACCGAACGACAATAACAAAGATGTGCCCTTAAATCATCGATTGCCTTCACCGGAAGAGCAAAGTAAAATTATTGCTCTGAAGTAAGTTTACGATACGTCAAAAAGTTGTAACATCCAAATCTAATCAAATCATCTAAATCAAAGTCAAATTGTTGAAAAGATTGTCTAACTAAATTGAGGCTACCCTCTTAGCCGATCGGGCTTAGGATTTCTCTCACTAACTAATAAAGGGATTAAAATCAAATCGAATGATAATACGTTCTGGTAATATATACTAGGTAGGGATTGAGTTTTTCATGCCTAAGATGTGTTTCACAGTGTGGCAGATATAGGTGTTCACAAAAGACTTTCTGTTTTCCTCTCAATTGAATCTGGGAAATGCCTTGTACCTCTTGATCGCATTTTGTACCGATTATAACAAATCGTAGTGAGGAAGGCAATAGACGTTTAATTTTTCGCGCAAGTGGTTCTTTTGGATAATTAACAAACGCGTTGCAATGTTTCCTTTCAATAATGTTTTAAATACAAGTGTTTAGTTTTGCTTTGAAAAAGTTTGGCTTTCATCAGTAAATTATATTCATTTAAAAATGGCGCATTTTGTTAGCACCTTTCCCAGTTGATCGGTTAATTCTATCACGTTTTAAAAAAACCCAACAATATAAATGATTTAATTCGAGTAATTAATAACTTTAGGTATCCCGCCGAAGTCATCACTGTGGACGTTTCGGGAAAACGTTTTCAGCGTATGTGTATGGCTCGAAAATCTACGACTAGCTGCATTTCTAATGTACCAAACACAAACAATCTTGACAGTGAAGTGCAAACGGTGACTCGTCGATCACGTTCCCGAAGAGCACGTGGTAAACGAAGAAACACTATAGCAGGCACTGACCAAAAGGAGATACAAGATGCAGCGAATGGGTACGTAATGGAAAAAAGTTGCATTCAACTCGTCTTCATTGTTGCATTTTCATGCAATTATAACTATGTGTCATAAATAATGTCCTTACCTATGTAAATGTGATAAGTATGTAATAAGTTTAAAGAAAGTATATAAATCTACAGATAAATGCATCTATATATTTATGGCTGTCTACTGTATGTATATCGTGCATCAATATGAATTTTTTCAAATGTTTTATGTAAACTTGCAATATGACACGTTTGTGCAGGAGTTAACTTTGTAAGTAATGCACACTATTATGCACTTCACTTAAGGATCAGTGTACACAGTTTCCTTGTTGCTATCAGTGCGTGAACGTTCCTAGTATTTAACGAGGCCGGTTTTAATGCATGTCGACTTTTATTAAACACGCGCCACACACGTTCGCCCGCCATCTTCTCGAGTTGCTCTAGTTGAGAACTCAAGGATCACTTTTCCTTCACATAGTCTACTACACCATCAAGATGGCCTGATAGCCCGAAGATGTCAACTTGCCTTTCCTACCTTACGTTCATTTCACAACAGGATTCAACTTTTATTTACTTATATCATTAATTTTTAATGTTATAAATATATTTAACATTTCCTGTGATAAAAAGTACTTATAGAGCTTATAGTATATATGTCATATATAGCATTGTAGATTATGCTACACATCTATCTGTCTGTTTGCATTTGTTTTCATAAATATTTATATATATGTACGTCATCGCTATCCCTCTACACATATGCATGAATATTTTGCGCTTGTTCCTTCAAAGCTATTTACTACTTTACTTGTCTTTTCCTAATTTCTTCTATATGCATAATGTTTCTTTTCTTTCTTTACTCAATCGATTAGACTTTTTTCTGTCTACACAGTGTAATCTTTACTTCTCTGCATTGGACTTCGGCTATTATCTTTTATTCTTTTTTTGATGCGCAAAACTTAACTCAAAGGCGTATGAGAGAACACCAAAAATGTGCAAATCTTCAATAAATCGAGAGTTGAATATTGATAGTCCTTTATTTTAATATTAAAACTAATTATTATTATCATATTTATTATATATATACATATTACATTTATTATTATTACTATTTTCAACTCGGAAGCATTGTTACGGAAATATACATAAATAAAAATTCCAAACTTACTTTATTTATTAAAAATAAATCTATTATGTCTGCGAATCCGTACTTGCTCCTATGAAAATGTAGTGAATTATGTATAAACACCTAAGAATGGTCTATTTAAGCGTCTTCTTGCTAACACTACCGCGCTTTCCATCATTTTATACAAGCTGCTTTCCAACGCCTTTTATAATGCTTTTGGACTGCCTACAGATGCTGATATAACGGACGGGATAACGGTAACCCTTTTACCTTTCGATTAAATTTCACCCCACCCCCAAGCGGTATAAGTTTAATATTAATAACCTTTTTCCTAAATATTTTGGATGAAAGATTTTGCCTTCCCTGCCGTTGGGTAACGCAATCCCAATTTTATCACGATTAACGCTTTCGTTTATAAGAACAATCCTTTCCATGTAAATAACCAACTTCGGAGTAGTAGAACTAATGCAAGCTCATATACATACCTTATGCTTTGCAAGTGAGGCAAAGTCTAAGTAACCCGTTGTTGGCGAATTGTATGCATTCGAAGTGGATGCAATTAATACCCTGTGTAATATATTTGAAATTATACTTTTTTAGAAAATGTCACTCTATGCTTCATAACGAGTTTTATGCAGTTTCGACTGCTTCCCACTTCTTCCTGCATTTTTCGCTTGTGACTTTATGTGTCTGAGAGAATTTACTTAAATTACGTTCTACCTTTATCAACCAAATGGTTCGTAATGGTCTGCCAATTTTACTCGATAGAAGGGTTAGCTGACCAATAATTTCTTTTTTGAGTTTATGAGTTTCTCTAAATTTTTTACCAAAATTAGCTAAAGTGTCAAACAGTTTGTGCTGTTTTTTTAGAAAAATTAAACACTTATTATAAAAAGGAAACGGTGGGAAACATTTGTTATCCATCGCTAAGGTTTACTTCGGTCATCTTTGAGACAGACTCATGGCGAAAAGACCAACTGACCTAATTAGACATTTTTGCATGATTGCTGTGGGTATGGATGTACGTTAGAATAGGCAATATGTCGGCGATTAAAAACAGTGCTAATAAGAACGGTGTGAGTGCTGCTGAGGTTCTCTGACCCGCCTTATCACGCCTACAATACAATAAAGGAGCTACCTAACATTTAAATCACTTTGTGCATTTAAGGGTAAAGATAGTGAAAATCCCTTCTTACTTCCATATGCCTCATTCTGTTCGCCTTTTTAATGCCACCGATTTACAGCTTTATACTCCAAACAAACCTGAAAAGGTGAAAACATCGCATATTAACTTTTTTCTAGCAATTTCGGGAAATCCACATTCTATACTATGCTGCAAAAATACCTACAATATGTGAGGCTTTGGGAGTTTTTGATGGTGGTATTTCTGGGAGTTAAAAACTTTTAATCTTATTTACTAACTATCTGTATACTAAGCATTTATCCATAGAACTTTATTATTTCATAAGCGACATGCTAACGAAAAAGTCAAGTATCAATAATAATAACAATAAGGCAAAGTCTCTCATCCTTTTGGAATGTTACTTAATATTTTCTATTGTGGGATCATAAGAATCAACAAATTGGCCTTCCACAAATTATATACTTAGTGAAGATTTTTCTGGAAGTTAGTAAAGAAAAAGCCAAAAGAAATGCCATTCATAAAAAAAAAAAAAAAAAAATTTAAAAAAACACACAACCCATACATATAAGCAGACGTAAATTGAAAGACTTCAATAACGTACCCACAGATCCATATTCCATCATAGCAATGTTCTTATTTTATCAAAGTCGAGAGAAAATTAAGATCAAAGCATTCCTAAGAATGCCTCCTGGTCATACCATTGCAACACGTCAACAGGCAACTAAGGAATCGGCTTATTCAGCTTGCTATAGCATCCTCAAAAACTTGCGTAGCATTTTCTTGATCGACGGGATGATAAGAGCTAACAATCAGAAAAAGTCTCGCAAGAAAGCAAATATTTTTTATTGATTATGTAACAACTCTTTGAAATTGACCTTTCTACACATACACATTCTTCTAATGTCCCAAATAGTGAACATGAATATCACGATGTTGAGCGCCGCGACTAAGATTATATTAGATTAAATGCACATTCAACAAAAATGTAATATGAAACCAAGCATCTGCTTGTTTTACGCCCCTAAGAGCAGAAGTTTTTACAAGCGCCTCACTTGTAATGCGGAACATTTGGTTGCGAAAGAAAAGTTTTTCCGACACAATTCCTTTAGATTGTATAAACTATTTATAATGTTAATTAAAAATACTTATTAAATATTAGTTTCAAAAGCTAGCATAAGAAAGGAAAATGCGTTGAAAGCCTAGCATTATGAGCAGTTTTCTCATTTTTTTTAGTTATGTAATTTATATGACATAATATATTTTTAGTTTTTCAATTGAGTTTTTTCATTTATTTGCCTTCTTGTTTTTCCAATATGTGAATTACTTAAACATTTTTACTCTCTAGAGAAACAACAGTCGCAGGTGATGACATAGAAGTTATTGCTGCTGAAAACGATGTTGGGAATAAAGAACCAAAATGTAGCACTGAAAACAAGACGAAACGATTCGGACGAAGTAAATCGAGCGATATATTAAAAAAAGAATCCGTAACCCTACCTTATGATAAGGGGAAAAGCACTTTGACTCGTCTAAACTCTCTGAAGCAATGGGGACGTAGTCGATTCAAATTCATGCAGCGAAACAACGACACGCCGTCATCGTCAATGTCTGTCAATCAAAATGATGCTGAGCACAAAGCGTGCTTGGGTAATATTAGCACGAATGTAAAATTGAAAAATGTGGAGGATATAAGCTCCGTGAAAACAGGTACGACAAACAGTTTTGTAGAAAATATATCATATGTTGTAGTGACTGAAAAGAATAAAATCGTCGCAAATCAAAATGTTAATGTTATGGAAAAGCATACGAATGAAAGTCGATTTTCGCACGAACGAAAGCCGTCATATTCCTCCTCTGAAAAGAGCGTAAATGTTAATAACATCAATCATTTGCGAGGCAAATTTCATCTGAATACATCTGCTGGTAATGTCAAACTAAGAGACAACTCCTCATTAAATCGACGCCGTAACTGTTGCCTGAATGTCAATGGCTTAAGCAATAAGGAGGATCAGCCACACTCTTCAAGTGGAAATTGGAGTGCTAGCTCTGAATCAGGTCGAGCTTCTATTGGCAGTGAAATTACCCTTCAACCCAAGTCTAGCGCCTCGAATACTTCTCTAAACGCCTTCAGTTATCAAGCCGGCAGCGGTCCGCCGTCGTCAATGTTCAGTCGCAGAAAATTTCTTAACACATCGGCCTCGAGCAGCGTCACTAGTGAAGGAACTGCAACACCAGATTTACAAGTGGTATCATCTACAATGGAAGGTGCTTATTCCAATCACTTGGACGATGAAACAAGTTCAGCTTATTCTTGTGATACGGAGGGATATTACACTTCTTTCCACATGGACAGCGGTTTGAGAACCCTGAAAGAAGAGGATGTGTGCATGGGCAATTTCCATCAGGGAAATCAAGCTTTGAGTCTGTGTGGTTATGCCCAAGATTACAATTCTTCCGCGAATAATTCACAGCAGACTCTAATTGGCGAAAATGAATACGAGCTCTTTGGCCATGGTTCAACATCAACTACCACGAGTTCTGCTGGCACAGTGTGCACCACGCTAGTGGCCAATAATATTGGTGGCGAACAAAATCTCAATAATAGCGGTGCAAGTTGTGGTCCCGAATTACCGGAACGTGTCAGTTCCTTGCGCAATAGCAGTGCCAGCACTAGCACTTTAGAAAGAAGCATATCAAGCAGCACTATCGGTAGCGGTGTTGATCGCACCGGCACAATCAAGCGAAATATTAGCAATGCTGCATGTTCGTCGCATTTGGACGATATAAAACAGTCTTCGCCTAATCTCTCTTCACAACTGGTATGCACGAGTGAACAGGAAGAACCGAGAAAACGAGATCCAAACCATCTGCCCATTGCAGATATTGACTATTCAGAAAGCTCCGATTTAGAAGGTGTAGAGCGGATAGAACGCATCAAACAAAAAACTGCAATTAATGCAAGACATATACCATCCATGTGCATTATTACGCCTACTACGAGTGATGATGAAAATCAACATTTCTATGGAAACGATAAAGAAAATAATCAAGAAATCCAGTATAACAGCCCACTAAATGGAAAGAACTTTCAAACTAATGCAACCAAAAATAAAGCTTCAAAATTAATTTCGTTTAACACGCAATCTTCAGAGATTAAATTTTCAACCAAAGAAGTTCAGGTAGAAGAGAAGTCTGCATTAGACGAAATGAAAGCTGCCCAAATGAATTTACCTTCTACTGGTCTGTCTACTGGTCTGTCTGTGATAGAGGATGACGTGCTTTATGATACAGCTGGCGAATATGTTTACATTGCAGCTGATAGCAATAACAAAGTTAGCAGTAAGCAGCTTTCACAGATGCCACAAGCGAGTAATGCAGGTTCTTTGGGTATATATTACTCTAATAGTGTAACAAGAAATGGACGAGACTTAGAGTACGTATCGCTTAATGAATTACCGTTGAGTCTACAAAAAGCTTATGGTAGCAGCAATAAAGGACCAAAAATTGAATGCTCTCAGCGGAACAATGAGTCAAGTGATACTCACCGCGCCGGCGCTTATCAAATGCAGAATTTGCAAGCAACGGAATTGTATGCAGATATTGATGACTTGCAGAGAGAAACTTTGGAAACATCTCCTTGTATAACAAAAACACCACCACCATCTAAGCCTTCTTCCCCGTTTATTTCGCCACATAAGGGTGCGCGAGTTCGTTTAAATTCAGTAGGCAAACCAATCTATGATTCCGATAGTTTGAAACGACGCAAAGGCGCACACACAACATTTATACCGGGTCCGTACGTTAAAGAAGAAAACGAAAGTCAATACACACAATTACCGTTAAATAATAGTGAAAGTGATAGTTCGGCCGTAAAATTACTACTACTCTATGCTGATAATAAAGTTAATTATAAAATGGCTGATGTTAAATCTATCACGAATAGATTGGCGACAACAAGACCAATCTCAGCGACACCTGACACTGATGAGCATGGAAACCCTCACATCACCACTAACGAGAACAACAAAAACGTTTTACCCTTTTCATACCAACAGCCCATTTCTAGCCATAGCTTAATACATTCGCCTTCCACCAAATCGAATTGCTCCAGTTCGTGCTCCATCATTTCTTCAATCACCTCATCTTCCAAATCAAGTTTTTCCTCAAAAGATGAAGGTAAGCCCAATGTAAAATATTCTAGTAGAGAATCTGGCAATAGTCATACAAATTCTCTTGTAAATAACACAAATCCCAACTGTATCATTAACAAGGCTGACGTTGCACTACCGACAATCCGAAAGCAAAACGCACACTCAACATCTTTTCAAAATTTTAATTCGATTAAAAGCAAAATTTTAAATAAAGAAAACGAAACGATAAATTTGGAAAAATCAACAGCTGTATTACCACCACCTCTGCCACCCAGAAGTGCAGAAGTGAAAGCACATGAAACAGATGTCCGCAATCCATATTCATATTATACATTTATTCCCACCCCCACTACAGAGAAATCAATTTTGCTGGAGGGTGACCTAAATACGAAACTGCAAAATGATGCATCTGCACCTGAGCCCTTCGCTATTACTTCATGTAGAGAGCTGGACGTTGCTTTAGCATCGAGCGATGAACTCAGGCAACACATTTCCTTGAAACGAAACAATAGTTACAGACTAGCAAACAACGATACAAACCCGCAAATAGACAAAGAACAAAATTCATATATCGATATTAATAATATTTCTAGCAATTTAACTCATCCAGTCGTTTCGCCAGTGGAAGAGTCTTTGCAAAATGTTTTACAAAACACACAAGAATCATTAAATTCTTGCAACTTGCATCTAACTACCGCTCAAAATAAGATAACCAAATCATTTGAACGGTTAGTAGATGAATTCTCTTTGTCTACTACATCTATAGACTCCTCATATCTGCGCAATAAATCTTTAGAAAATTTCGATGAGTCATCAGCCATACTTCCGTTAAATTCCGTTAATGAATGTGCCGGAATAGGCACAAATTACAACGAACTAAACAAGTGTAAAGGCTTGGATTCTGATTCTGATTTTGAACAGCAAAATCAACTAGCTCTCAACACGCCCGTAAAATACAACAAATTGTTTGTAAAAAAAGTGCTACTGAGACCGTTTAAGATTATTATGCCGCTAGACGATAACAGACGACAACGAATTTTGCAAAAATTTGAAACAACCGATATTTGGTGAGCATTTGAAATAGCTTCTCGAGTGTAGGACACGTAAACATTTACAGAACAGATTCCATCCAAATGTTAACCTAACTGTACTCCAAGTATATGACACTCTTGCAACGTGTAGTTATTAGCTAATCACAAAACGATTCTCGCGACCAATGCCTTATCTATCTATCTATCAATTTCAAGTCATCGCATGTTCTTTTCCATCCAAAGAATTTTGCGTATGAAAAACAATTTCACGTGATGAAGCAAGCCATTTCTCTCCACTAGACCAGAAATCCCAATGATGGCCTTTACATGCCTCTGAATGTAATATCCAAGGCTTCAATAGTCGACTCATGACTAGAGATTGTTACAAAATCAATGTACTAATGGTAAGGCATAAAATTGGTTAGGATCGATAAACAAATGGCATGCTTATGAGACGATAATCATTTGAAATCTGTTCGGATAGTCGCCTTGGACATTTAATAGTAAAAAAGAAGTAAAAAAAATGATATTCGGTTGTGATCGAATCTTTTACACCCATCACTATTTTCCTACTAAGGCTAAAAAAAAAAAAATGAAAGGACCAAGTTTTTGTACTCGATAATATTGGATGGGCGTGGAAATTTATATGGTGTATATGTTGTACTTTATGAGTACCGAGCAAAAAACACGGAGATCAAAGTTGCTCACAGTTTTGTTGCATAGGCGTTTGGCATCTCCTTTCAACCGCTTAGGACATTTTTGTAGGCGACATCGTAATTTTTGTGAACGGGGAAATATTTAGCACAGTTACTACATAGTTGAACAGAGGGACGGACAGATGGATGGACAAACAGACATACAAGGCATAGAAAAAAAATTAAATTTTAATACACTAATGATGGGTGAACGTGGTCAATTTTTTCCCATTTTTGTAGAGATATTACAGCTTTACAGCATAACAAGCAAAAGAGCAATTTTTATACCTTTTACTAAATGGAGCTATTTTCAGTTTACTCACTAAAATAGGCGTGTCCTTCGACCGAGCTAACCCGCTTTAAATACCAACCTGCGTGCACGGGTGCTCAATGTTTCTGCCAAATTTGCAGTCAATAGATTCATGTTCGCATCCAGGAGAATGTTTACAACGGACATACACACACGGACACGCGGACATGCTTAAATCGGTTCAGAATTTGACGCTGATCAGGAATATATATACTTTGTGGTATCTCTGAAGCTTCCTTCCGTGCGTTGCAAACGTTTTGACAAAATTAATATATCCATCATCCTTCGGTAGTGAATATAAAAGCATGTTTATTTTACCCGATCGCAAGACCTGCTATTCTCAATCGGTTACCCTACCTCCCTTCATTTAATAGCACTCTCTGCTAAGGCTTTCAAAACTTACTTAGCGAAAGTGGTTGATATTATTAAACACAAGCAAAATTGTCCTCAGAGTTTGCGCATTTAACGGAACCTTCACTTTGACTTTATTTCACGACAAAGCGTCTCGTTTGTGAAAGAGATAGTAATCATCAAGAGGAGCAAAATGGCTTTAAAAATGATTTAAGGCGAATATCGAAATGTGTATATTTGCGTCATATCGTTTGTTAGCTATTGATAGCCTCTCGATACTTTACACAGATAAGGAAAGGTGGGTTGCATCAGTCTATACAGCTTCGTATTTCTTATATTTTTAAAGTACTTCTACTGCTCCATTAACATCTCCTAGGATAACAGATGACTTTTACCGATATGAACATGACCGTAATTTTGAAAATCTGAGGGAGTTTTCAACTTAGTTTGGCATTGAATTAACTGTTGGGTTGCCCTCTAATTTGTCCTGACGCGTAGTTGGTGGTAAAGGTATTCCAAAAAAATGTTAACCGAGAATGAATGAATAATATCCGAAAAAAAGCACACTGTTTTTTTGTAGTATTACTGTTGAATGCATTACATTTTAATCAAACGCAGTAATTTAAACATAAACGCATGCGTATGGCAAATTTGGCTTTCCTTCGATTCGAATCTCGAAACGGGCACATGCTTAAGCGGTTATGTACTGGTGCAGGACCTTATTTTTAATTAATTACAATCACGTTATTACCGCATTAATTAATATGTTATTAATTTTCTACCCATAATAAGAAGTAAAGTCTATTCACCCTTAAGCAAATCTTTGATGCCTACGGACTCAAATGGGTTTATTAGCTTAAGACATGTTGGCGCGCCGTGTACACTCTTTTTTGTACTAAAGCTTTACCTGACTTTAGTAAACGATTGCGGTTTCTTAGATCATTACCTACGACAGCTTGTAAGTAGCAACGTTTTGTGTATTTCTGTAAGGACTCTGAACAATTTTAGGCATGATCTGCGCATATCGCAGAAAATATGTGTTCGAATTCCAACTCTCTCATTTTCTAATCCAGACTGCAGAAACGAAAATCGAAGAACAAAGATACATAGCTAAGGCCAAGCAGTCCTATACCGATCAAAATTATATATACTCTGATGTACATTGCTCATTGTCACCGCAATTCTTTGATGGCGAAGTGTAAAAACTATTACATGACATGCATAATCGAAAAACTTATTAACTCACTGATAGCGTACGCTCACTACAATTACAACTACGGCTAAAATCAACTCAAGCGCATTAAGATTTATACACTCGAACAATGATTGGTGGTCGGACTGGTGGTTTCTAACCTACTCTGCTACTCATGCGGGTCTTAATTATAATAATGATTATATTATTAGTTTCACCATGCCAGCCTTCACACCATAAAGCTACTAAAGCTTTGTTGCAAAAATTGACGCAAGCGATATTTTGATAATATTTTAGCGCGCAACTTAAGCTAGTGTGTGTTAATGCCGCTTTTACGTAAACTAAATGAAAGAACACCATACTCTGATAGCACACATAAATCTTAGGCTTCCTCGCTTTACCCTGCCTTTTGGTGCAGCTCAAACTTCATAAAAACTTGGCATTTGTTAGTAAACGTGCGTCGTAGCTCTTTTTTGTTTTAAATCCCTTTTAAAATTCTTTTTCAAAGTGTCTTGTTTTCGTTTTTTAATATTTCATGAATTGGCAAAAGGCGCTTAGTTTACTTATTACAGCTAATGAACCAAAACTGGGCCTCTGGAAGTTAAAATCGAAAGAAAATTGATTATAAAACTTACTAATCTGAAAAAATGTCTTTTCCTCTATATCGAAAAACGGACTAACAGACGTGAGACTATAACGAAGACTGTAATGGGGCGGCTTAATGGGGACCGGTGAGTAAGGGATATATACCGAAATTTGAAGTAGAAAATCGATACCAAGCAATTTTATCAATGTAAGCTATTAGCACAATTTTTCGGTACACGGAAATGAGTTTTTTTATGATTTAATTAATTTTAACATTACTAAGAGCGCTAATGTAACACAATTTAAATATTTTGTTCAATTTAAGGAAACTGTTCATGTAAAGTAGTTTTAGGTGTTTAGTACTACGCCATTTAATAAAATTGAAGTACTGAAGAAGGAATATTATATTTGTTTACTTTCGAGGAAAAAGCTTCAAATTTTGGCCTTATCTTCTTGTCAAATGCCCTATGTATGTATCATTATAAGTGCATACTAGCGATAAGCGGTGAAATATGCGATTAATCCTCGTAAAAAGAGAGCTTTAATTACTTTATCACAGCGATTACTCGTGATTAGTCGCGTTCGACAATTTCGAAATATTATTTCCGTTTGCCTCTCCCGCTTTTATTGGAATTTATATTATGGGGAGGACAAGAAATGTATGTAAACATATGCGGGTTAAAATCTTTGCGTTTGGTCGTCTGGACACATGGCCCTGCTTTTCAATTACCATTTTTTTTTTTTTTATATTTCGTTATATAAAGAATGGATTGAAATTATGTTTTCAACTTTTCTTTTTCATATTGAAAAGTTTTCGGATATGTATGTATATTTGTCTGTGACTATATGCAAATTGTACAAAAAGTGCATAAAGAAAATCTTATTCATTTTGTTCACTCGATATATGCGCACAGCGCTTTTCCATTGGGGCATAAAAAGCATAAAAATTTGTATATTCACTGAGCAACATTTATTTGTAAATATACGTTCATACGAACCCATTTCCTTACACTGATGTATACGGGCATTCTGTGATCAACCACAGGTAAGCAGTAATCTACCAGGTAAAAATATATATCTTTTATACCTGCATAATTTCCTTCTCTATCTTCTTACTTCTTTACTTTTACTATTTCTATATACATTGTCTATTGCAACTGCGCAAAGATCCATAGCGAAAATCCGCAAAAGTCAAAAAGCAAAATATCTAGTAGATTTTCATAAATCTCTAGCATTAGTTGATTTCTGAACTTTAAAAATTTGTCTGTACTCATGAAATGACCGTCCGCTTCCTCTGAAATCCGCATGAAAATCATTAGTGACCGAATGTGGCGAGAAATGTCGGGAAGATGAATGCTTGTGCTATGTAATTTCACAAACCACGTCAACAACACACTTTCACAGTAATTATGCGATCACGCCGTACATGGCATATCAGGTTTTCCGAGTTTGCCAACCCTCTTTGTCTATTCGTACGCAAAGCGCACCTAGACTATATGTTATCGATACTCAAAACTTCGTATACGCCTTGGATGTCGACACAACTTCCGGGAATTGTCTGGTTATATAAGTTAGCTTTCATTTACATTACGATACTCCATACGCTTCACACTTGTGCGGGTGGAAAAGCAACTCTAAATAATATCTTTCGGAATTCGCTACGGAAGTATACAAAGATTTAACGTATAGTTGTGCACGTGTACATTTGGTGTAGTCGTTGTTAATAAGTAATGTCTAGATGTAAATAGTAAAATGTTATAAATTTTTCAAGTTACTTTTTTTCAAACGCATCCACTATTAACATCATCTATTCATAGTCTCTATTGGATAATAAGGAATTCAGGACTTATTAAACTTAAAATATGTCTACATATGTTTTAAATGCATCTCCCTTTTGATATTTTTTTGGCAGGTTATAAACCAATTTATCACACAGTTGGGGAACAGGAGCAGCAACAACCGGAAGAGTGTCATAGAGCATTAGAAAAAATATGCATGAACTACTCAGCGGTTGAGAGGAGTTCTCCTGTTTATTGGACTTTGCAAAGCAAAAGATGCGGTAGACAGCAAGTGATAAGTTCAATCTCTCGCGATGACTTGTACGCCACACCTCTGAAACGCTCTGATAGAAAGCTACGTCAAGACAACATATCGTCCATAGGACAAGGTCATCGAATGGGAATTGTGACGTCCACCCCTATGCGACAAAGTGCAACTGACTCCACATTTCCATCTGACAGAATTCCCATGAAGCAACCTTCGGCGCGAAGTTTGCTTTGGGACGACAATTCGCCGGATCGTTTGAATACATGTGCCGATCGTATTGGACACAGCAAGACCAGTCTAATGGATTTTAAAAGATTGCTGCTAGCCAAGTCCGTAAAAAGCAATACACTGCCAAAAAAATTGTCGGCTGTGGAAATGTTGAAGAAAAATTCTACTGGAACGGGCCAAAGCGTTGGGGATGGACGCATAACATGCACAAATACCAAAACCCATGCATCACCAGGAAGTCCAACATTAAAAATCAATTCCAGTCTGAATTTACTGGATCTTAGTGGTTCTCCAAAAACATTTGCTAACCGCAGGATGCTGCGTCAAGGTCAGTTTGGTTCACCTTCAAAATCATTCACTCCTAAGTTAAAGAATTCGCCCAGTGGTTGGCGAACAAACTCTGCGTTACGTACGGACATCATGTCTACCATTATACCGGAGTCGAACAGTGAAGAGGCTCTTGCTGCTGATGAAAGTAATGTTAGCAAAAATTGTAGCATTTTAAATGGCAATTCAAATATTGATGAAGGAGAAACGGCTGGAAACATGGAAAATTTCAAAAAAAAAGATAAAGAGAAGAATATTTTTTTGCAAAATGAACAAAACAACTTCATACGAGGTGAATTAAGGTCTAGTTTTGGTAAAGATAAACGCTCTTTTGAACCAACAATTATAACGCCAGCAACGTATTCTAAAGATGTAAATGCTAGCGATGGCAACGCCTCAGTCCCAATAATGAATACCATTGAAGCAATCGCGCCAGCTTCAAAAGTCGTAACAACACCTGCCTTAGAGACAGCATTGTAAAAGTTTGCTACGCTGTGTCTTTATAAATCTAAAACATTAATTCATCAGTGCTTGAGGACATAAGTAAAGGGCGGTAGACTATTGTGTGGGCCGGAAGTGTATTCAAGCATATACAACTAGAAAATAAGAACAAAATTCGTAGCCATGTTACAATATAATTTTATAACAAAGTTAAGACTTAGTTGAACGAATCACTCTCTTGAATTTCTGAGTTTAATAAAGCGAAAAGGAAAAGGTTATATTTTACACCTGCACCGAAAGACTGAAACTACACGGAACAAAAACTACGGTCTCAGAATAGATAAGAATGGGAGAGAGAGAGAGAATTGTGTCGTAAAAAACCTACTAAACAGGTATAAATCAGTCAATTAAATACAGAAAGTTAGACAGCTTGATGTAATATATAAAAATGTACATTTCCAGCATCAAACATCTGGCCTAAGCTAAAACAAAAGTCTGCCTTTCCTTATTATATTTCACAACTGCCATCCATTAAGGACCTTGTCCTTGCAAATGTTTTATGTAGATATAGTTAGCGGATTTTACGAATACATACTCCAATTAACTTTGAATTTTGTCCTGAGATAAACGCTATGTTACTTTTATGTTTCCCTTGAAGACGCATTAAGAAAGAATGTTTCCGAAGGGCTATTTGTAATTGCGGGCGTATTAATTGGATAACTGGGATGTTTTTAATTCATAACATATATATTGACCGTTAAATTTTCTTTTCTTCGACTTTACAACTGAAGTCGCTCATTTTCAATGGTTTTCTATTTTGAGTTTACTTTCCGAATAAAAGGCTACATTGCCAGGCCACCCACAGACTGCTTTTGATCCATTACAGTGTTCACTTGTGTTTTCTCCATTTTTAAAGTCAATGCGTTCCAATTTTCCAAACGTTGCAAATTTGAAGATAAACTTCAAAACCTCAAAATTGCTCAAATACACAATTTGTTGGATCTCAAAATATCAGAACAAGTATTATTATCTACTGTGGTGAATATGAAACTTTATTTTCACCATTTTTACCGCTCCCGTTATGTTAAACATACATAAATAATGTTTACACTGAATATGTACACAACCGCATACGTATGCCATACATTTTTTTGTTCACATAAACATTTACAAATTTATTTTGTAAGGTTGTTTCTTAGGAGTGTTTTACAATTTATTTTCAAAATGTTTTGAAATTACTATATAAACTTGTTGTACAGATATTATTAAAAGAGAAGAATTCTGTTATATTTGACAACTCACAACTGCCTTAACAATATTCAAAAACAACTCATCTCAAATTCGACAGCGTACGAAATGGGATGCAAACATATTTGCATGTCTCCAAAATAGTGATTGTTAAGCTTTTACGACAATGAAAAAAGTTATTGATTTTTTTTAGAAAATATCCTTAAGAATTCATTAGCCTCTTATAACGTCCTTAAATTTCACGCCTCCTCTTTCAGTACTTTTAAAAAGTTCTAAGTAAGGACGCATTTCAGTCTCTCCATAATTTTAAATTCCTTTAATGATAAAAAAAAATAAATTTTAAGAGAGGTATTAATTATTAAAATTATTCTATTCCGCCTGTAATTGCGATGATTCGTAATATTATAGCGCGATGAACTTCCTAGAGTCTTTATTTAATCAAAATTGACTTTTGAAAATTTAAACTAATAAAATATCTGAAATAATCGACCATTTTAGAAGATTATTCGTCGAAAATTACATATAATTTCGTTTTGAGAGCTATGAACAATCTTCGCTGCTGCTACTTCCTGAGTAATTAGCTAGTCACGCTTCGACATGGTTCAAATTATTTTCATAACCACTGGAGCTGTGTATGACGAATGTATAACTCATGAAAGAAGTATCAAATTTTCTGTTATCATAAATATATGAAGGTATACGTCATGATCCGTCCAGCCGGTCTTGTCGGATTTTCTCATAAAATTGTAACATCATGAATGTGTATTTGCTACAATAATGTTTTTCACAATGGATGAATGCCACTTTGTCAAGTTATTTCATTACAACTTAGTTACATATTGGACATATTCTTTGTATGACGAATACGCTCGTCATCGCACAAATTTTGCGACGCAATTTGAATGCATATTTTTCGAAGAGGTCAACACAGTTAACTGGTTAAATAGACATTTGTGAAATTCGACGGCGTTTTAGGATGAGCCAAAGTCTCTGCATTAACGCAGAGCAGTTAAAGCTGGTCTCAAATACCTAATTAAATGAAGAACACAAGATAATAGACAGTTTTGACTAATGTTGCTGTTATTGTTAATATTATATGGCGATATTTATATTTTATATATTCATTTGTTTTCTCCCGTCAAAAATTACAGGCAAATTTTGCTATTGTGCTTTTGGAATGCCTAACCTTGACTTCTACCCACAATTTCCAGTTAAAATTGTTTACTTTTTGTTTATTTATTCTTATTTCTTAAGCTTTCATATGTATCCTCTAACTTTAATGTTTTCCTTACTATTTTTTGTAAACGAGCTAAGCATGCAAATAAATGATTCGAAAAGTTATTCAGATCTTTTATATTTTTACGAAATTTTAAAACCAATGCATAAGTATCCATAGAAAATGTCCTTACGAAGTAATGGACAAACCTTAAAATTTGTTAAACTTTTAAAAATTCTTAGTTTTTACACATTTCCTTTCAATACCGTACTGAAAAGGTAAACAAAGAAGACAGCAAAGCATTGATGAAATATTTATTACAGCCACTCCGTATAAATTTAATAAATAAACATAATAAATAAATGGTTGCAGTGGTAGTTTAGTGATGTTTATAGTTTTGGTTTAAGCTTTTCAGTTCTTCTTTTTACAACATTTGTATTATTTCGTAAACTCATTAACTTCATAATTAGCTTTTGTTTATATCTTTCTTTTATTATTATTATTATAATTAATTTAGTCAGAGAAATAAATTCTAAGACTAAACTCTTAAAGCATTACCGAGAATTTATATCGACTTTAACAAGCCCAATTTTGCTTCTACGTTACATACTTTATTTGTTTGCAGTGTGTTTAGCTCAGGCCACTTGCAACAACTATATAAAAAACCACGTTTCACTCCGCAAAAGCGAGTATGTGTAAAGTAGAAACGCAGTTAAAAGTTAACAACGGCGATATGTTTTTCTCATTCAACCTTATATATAATATAACTTATATAATAGTTAGAAGTAAAAATCTAGTACTAACATTTCAGGGTGTGCTGGTAAATTTCAGGATTTTCTGTAAAACTAAAACCAAATTGGTATTGCAACACCTTTTAGTTAAAAGTAAAATTGTGGTTGAAATTGTTATCAAAATTATTTATTAAGAATTATATGAAAACCCTAATCAAAATTGGTTGCCGAGGCTAACGACTGTATTGAACACTTAAATATAAGTAAATTAATGCATTTTTGGTAATTTGCACCATCACTTCCACACAGTCGATGAATACGTCCGCTTCGCCCAAATGCTCTTTTGAATATTCCCGGTATTATTATTATTGTTCACCGGAATGAATGTCAAACAAGATTTTGACTTACATCAGAAATTCCTTTTTCAAAAATAATAATATTACTGTTTTGCTAATAAAAAATTACGATAAGGCATAAAGCAGATACGGAAATAGAAGGAAATGAAGTAAAACACATGTTTTTCTATATTTGACTACGAACGAATTTTTTATTTCCGCCACTATTGCCACGAAAAAAGAATCAAATAATATATACGAAACATAATATATAATAATAATTTATAATGTTGGTCGGTTTTTGTGCAGTTTATAAGTAACAAGCAAAACTCTCAACTTGGTTGTTCCCTCTGTTGAAATCGGGATTGTGCTGCAGTGTAAGCAAGCCTACAGCTTATTTTTTGCAACGGGAAAAAAATTTACCGCACATGGACATACCGAATTGGTTATTATATTAATTATACCAGTTTCTAGGGTAAGCAATTGTTAGCTGAAGGAAGTTTTGACTACCTGTATAATTATACTTAATAATATATAAAATTAATTACCTGTGTAATTATGTCCATGCCCATTCGCATTGTTACATTTACCATAAATTTCAGCATTTTCTTTATCACTCCGCAAATTGACACCAAATCAGAAATGAAGCAAATGCAATAGAAAATGAGATGAGTAATAAAAATGAAACAAAAATATTTACTAAACGAAAGTGAAAGGAGAAATTAAGAGAGAAAGTACCTATGTAAAGGATGACTTCACTCTTAGGGCGAAAAATTTGGGAATTTCTTCACTTTTATGTTTGCTAAATTTGTGCAACTGTCTCACTTCTGAAGATTTAGGTGGGCACAATGGAATCTATAGTGTTTGGCTAGAATTGGGACAACAGGTATTCAAAGGTCCAAGGGTTTATTCAATTATGGAGCCTTCCACATCTCTGATGCGTTCGGCTTTGGAGCATTTGAAGAGCCATCGAGAGCTTTTCAAGCAAATGGCTCAGAACGATTTGGAGGTACATTCGAAGTTGTCTTTCGAAAAGCGATGAATTATTTATTTAAATTTTTCTAATCATTATTAGCTTATTTTTCAACTCGTTTTTAATAAAAGCAATTAGTTGCAAATAATTCGAAATTTATTCCAGAAAGAAGATGTTTGGACACTGTCCGAAGATTTCGATGTTTTAATGGATTTGTTTTCCGATAATGATTGGCCTGAAATTATATTGCAAATGGACTTAGGTAAAGAAGTTCAGAAACTGGAGAAGACTTTTAGGAGTAAAGTTCGTTCGCAACGCAAGGAATTGAAAGAATGATATGCGGCTGTTCAAACAGTTCGTACCAATTTAACACGTTTCGTCATATACTTGGAAAAGGAATCAATGAAACTCGGTGGACTACCTAGCTCCACAACAGACTGATTGCAATTCGGAGCAAAAAAAAGTTTTTATTGCCTTACTTTATAATTTCTTTTGAAAATGCTTTGAGTTGTATGCGTCCTTATGTGAAAAATAAACAAAAACTTTTACAAGCGAATGCTTTAAATGAAATCGATAGGGTTCAAACCTAATCATACAAAACAATCACAAGATATAGCCCAAAAAAATTATAATGGTCAACATGTAGACATTTTGCGTGTCAAGTTCGCAGCCGGATTCCAACAAGTTCGCAGCCAGATTCCGCTCTCCTAATGGAAAGCATAGATTCATCTACAGCGGTTGATTCAAGTATGTGCGATGTCGCCATTTTGCACTCTTTTTTTTGGGATGTTGAGTTAAGTTGGACCATGCCTCACAATTTGCACTTTTAGCAATATAATATATCATTAAATTCTTTTTAAAGATAATTTTCACAGGTTGTAAACAGAGACAAGAATATCTACAGTTTTATTCTCACACCCTATATTGTATTTAGTAGCGCAACATGTTTCAAAGTTGCGATAACTTTTCTTTAGACTTCAACGCAATGAATTTCGCTCCATCCCATTTTTTTCTTACTCAGCGAGTCATCTGTTTCCACTTGCTGATTCAAAGAAAAAGAAGAAACGATAACTGTCAGCGAAATTGTTTGAATGGAGCAAATTTTTTCAGGGGATTGGCAACACCATTCTGAAAACAATACTTATTTTTATTTCTTCATAGCATTCGCAAATATGCAGGTCGCTTTTTTGGATAATTTGCTTAAGGAGTATTTAGTATTTCGTGGATTTTCTAATACGTTAAAAGCACTCGATTCTGAATTAAAAAATGAAAAGGACGAATCATTCCGTGCGGAGAAAGTGATGGATCAATTCAATCAATCAATACAAACGCATGATTTGCAGTCTTTGTTGATTCTTTGGAAACATTTGGATTCTTATTTATTCAGCAAACTCGAACATACGTATTCAGTTGGTAAAATTGATATTTGTTATTTGTACGTATGTGAACGACACGGCACAAACATATTCAGTGTTATTAAAGAAATTGGTTAAAGTAAGCGTTTCGGTAAATAAAAATAAGTGTTATTTAAAACAACAAAATATAGAAAATTAAATGAGCAGAAATCAATCTACGTACATGCTCTTCAGCTATCGCAACTCCTTTAAATTGCCTCTTTGGTCTTTCAAACATCATAGAAGTATTGCATTACGTTTCTATAATGCCCCACATGCGGATGTATGGCAACACGCCGGCGGACTCATCTTTTATTATGCCGATCGATTCCGGACTACTTTTTGCATCGATCTAAGCTTTTCTATCTTGTTTGTTTCCTTGTGTTCAACTACAAGTCGCAATTTTTGTGATCGTTTGACGAGGTTTGGTACATCGCCATATTTTCGTCCAAAGACGAACGCTATTGAAAACTGTTCGAAACTATTTTCTCGACCACTTCACATATAATGCGTCATTTTAAAATATCATTGTAGAAGTAGCTGCAACGTGGTGGAGTTTAATGGTGGGCTGGCAGGTCTCGATTTGCTATCGTTTTCTTAACTTTTTTTTAGAATATCTAATTTAAATCAGATTCAGATTCAATTTCAGTATTTAATGTTCAAACTAAAAATTGGGAACAAATCATATGGTGAAATAAGGAAATTACTACATTGCACATAAACTGAACAAACTGTAAAAAAAATGCGAACTATAACGGAAAATTTGCGGATAGTATTAATACAACCTTTCTAGACGAGATATGAGACAAATTCTAAAAAATGATATCGAAGATAACAAAATAAAAACTACTTGAATATATTGCTATATATATGTATATTTATTTGTTGCGCTTTTTTATATATACTTTCAGCAACAAAAAAACTAGAAAATAGTTTGTTAAAACTTTACCTTGTGAATGCTTACAACCATAATAAAACGGATAAGGTTTCCGAGTTTTTCAGTAAATTGGCGACAAGCTTACAGCAACAAGGCGAATGGAAAGATTGGTTTTGTGAGTTTATTACCTTCCTAAATTAGGAATATATAGAAAAATATTTATGTTTTTAAGTTTGTGTTTATGAGTTTAAAATTTGAATAAGGATTTATTTCGAATAGATTTGCCATTCTGTCGTAATGCGGAAGAATTGCCTCAATTCTCGTTATATTTCACGAAACATTGGCAGGACTCTTTGCAATTATCTTTGCGCAACTTTCTTACGACGGTGTACCAATGCCTACCACAACCTAGTTTTGTGCACGCTGAGCAGGAAAGTACTTTAATACGTCATCTGCAAGAAGAGAATACTTTATTGAAGTATCGTCTCGAACGAGCATCGCAACAGCAAAGATCTACCCCTCAAACTACCCAAATTAATACATCAATACCTAGTGGCGACAACAGACTACGCTCATTATCTAGAACTCAGCACGGCTTAAGCGATATTCAGCCTTTCGATGTAAGCCCTCCAAATCATGTGGTTGACGATTTTTATATAATTGCTTCTGAAGTGAACAGCACTTCGCAATCTAGTGACGGTCAATCCCGAGGGCTGAAAATGTTAATACGTAACATCGGATCTGTGAGTTCACCAGGACGTGGTCGCAGAGACAATAATGGTGTTAATGAAAAGACATCTAAACGTCGATCAGGTAGTGTCGGGCGTAATTGGATTTAAGTCAGTTACTTTAAAAATCAGCAAAGGGCAAAAAAAATTTTTCTTATTAAGTAAGCCTTACTTAAGTGAAATAAAAATTAGAAAATAAATTTTTTCAAATCATTTTTATGTGAATATACGTAAGAGCTTGGGGTGCCTTATGATAATCAAAGTGAAGGAAATTCGACTTTTTCTAAACGACCGCCATATTTAACTTAAAATTAACATACCAAGCTTGTTGTTCAACGCATGCTTAGGTTAATATACATAATGCATAAAGTATCGTAAGAACAAACAAACTGTTGTTCAAAATTTTAAAACAACTTATTATTTGATTATTTTAGTAGTTGTATATCAAAACTTATGCTTTCGAAACGCTTATGGAATTGTATATGTTGAATATAGGCAAAATTCTCAAACAAAGTCACAAAGAAGGCTTTCCCGAATTTTAAAACAATTCACAAGAGTTCTTCCTTCAGAATGAATTAATCCGCCCGAGTCTCTGAAAAGGAACGAAAACCACTCAGAATGTGTATGAGAAAAAATACATATGTTTTTTGATAGAAGTAAACAAAAGCTAAGATAAATTTTTTCCCATAAAAGCATTCTCCCTCAGAAATTGTAAAAATCAAACGTAGATCTCTGAAAATGAACGAAAACCGCTCAGAATGTGTATGAGAAAAAATACATATGTTTTTTGATAGAAGTAAACAAAAGCTAAGATAAATTTCTTCCCGAGAATTTTTTATTTTCATTTTGTTTATATTTGACTAGGGAGCGGTAGAGTTTTTTAATAAAAGCCGATAGCCCTAGATGCTAGTGCTTTAAGACTTTAGTCTTAGAATTTATTCTCTGGCTAAATTTATAATAATAATAATAATAAATTAATTAAATTGTTTGTTTGTATAGAATTTCAACAGATGTTTTTTATTGATTAACAGAGAATTTGGAACAATTGGGGACTATTGCCGAGGGCTTTGCAAATTAGCATAGAGTATTACGTTCGTTCTTTTCCTGTTCAAACTTCTGAAAGTTACTTTTCATTTATTGTCGCATAGAACCCAGAGTTAGCACAAAAAGTGGTAATTCAGACTCGTTTAATGGCATCGCAATAATATGAAAAAGGATGGTTGTGGACAAATGAAAATATCGATTTTTCTTTTTTTAATTTTTTTCTTATATTGATATTATTTAGTTTTTATTTTTTCATAAGTTAAGCGCTAGTTTAAAAGAGCAAAGCTTTATATATGTTTGTTGAAATTAAGATTTTCAATTTATCTGCTTACTTTAGTATTTTACCAAAAATTACTCTCTGTTTTCTCTCCTATTGCACCACAAGGAAACAAAGCGATTAAATATAAATAATATATAATATAATATATAATATATGTGCGACTTTAGGGGATGACACAATTAGTAAAAAAATAAATATGATTAATTAAAATCTGGCACTATAAACGATAAGTTGCGTGTACGTCCTTTTAAATGAATGGGTATAAAAAGCTCCTAACGTCTTCATGTTGCTGGAGCATCCCACAATCAACATGGATAAAAGTAATACTTCCTTACAGACTGCACTTAGACTCTTCAAGACTTCTCCCATTCATGGTTTTGTTTTTTTAAACATTTTACATGCATACCAACATGTTGAGAATAAAAAAATAAATAAATAAATTGATAAAAACCGTGGTCCAACTAAATTGTTGCGTATAAATTGATAAAAACCGTGGTGCAACCAAATTGTTGCGTATAAATTAATAAAAACCGTGGTGCAACTAAATTGTTGCGTATAAATTGATAAAAACCGTGGTGCAACTAAATTGTTGTGATTAAATTGATAAAAACCGTGGTCCAACTAAATTGTTGCGTATAAAGTGAGTCCGTCCCAACACTTTTCCTTTCCCTTTTGTATGTAATGCAAACGGAATGTTGTAAGTGTACCTAAAACAGAATGCAGGTACATACATTCGTGCATGGAAACATATAGATGTATATATTTTTGAACACATCCATGAACAGGTTCAATTTTCTATCGAAACTTACAAAAAATATAATTTTGCCACAAATCTCCGATTCATTTTAATTAAATTCATTTTGAAACTTGAGGAGATTTGTTTACAATTTTTAATATTGTTCAAGTATTTGTATAAAAATTGCGTGCATGCGAGAGTAAGTGTATAAAAATTTGCCTTCAACTGAAAATGATTCTCAATAATTCCAAAGATGTGAAAATAAGAGTCCAATTTATTGACAATTTTTAATATTGCTCAAGTACTTGTGTAAAAATTGCGTGCATGCGAGAGTAAGCGTATAAAAATTTGCCTTCAACTGAAAATGATTCTAAATAATTCCAAAGATGTGAGAATAAGAGTCCAATTTATTAGCTAGAAAACTCTTTCACTTACGCTCTAAAGTAAAAAATTTAACATAATTCGAAGTTCGCTCATTTACTTCTCCGCTAAAGTAACAAAATTCGAAGTTCTCTCATTCACTTCTCCTGTTCACACTGTTCATTGAAAATATAATGCAAAATGTGGTCAGATTTTATTTTCACCATTTTTTGTTCATTTTAATTAAATTCATAAAACTTGTGTACTGAATACAAACATTCCGCTTCTTTTGCTGCGTTTCTTAAAGTAATATTTCTTGTTGGACGATAGCAGCCGATAATACTTAAAGCGATAACTGCGATAAGTACAAAGTTACTGAAAAATAAAAAGAAACTTTTGGTGGTGAGAAGATTTTTTGGCTGCTTGGCACCACTTGTGGTTTAAGTGGTTTATTGCTTCAGTAGGAAAAAGAAAAAATTGGCACCACTAGGATATTGCTGGCATTGTTATCGCAGTTTTTGTGTGTTCTCGAGAGTAGATTATTTTTTGTGAGTTTATTATCAAGTAGAAAATTTCGGAGATTTTGATTTTCATTAATAAATTTTTATTGTGTGTAATTTGTTAATTACCAAAAGAAAAAACCAAAACATAAATGCAGTTGCAAGCGTTTTGTTTAAAATATGTATCGAACGGAAACGCGAGAACAAAATGATATTTCGTTAATCATAGGGAATTTACCCAAACGGCTTCAGGACAAATTTATAGCAAGCGGAAACCAACAAGGCAATGAAACACACAATAGCAAAACGAAGGTGGCGGAAAATGTGTCCACACATGTTGAGGAGGTCAGTTCGTCACGAGATGCCACGGTGCCAAGAGACAGTTCGGGTGCTGATAAGGAAAGTGGGATTACCGCTATAAATTACTTTCTTTGCTTATCTGGGGATACGAAAGAGTCTTTAAACAGCGAGTCTGGGCCCGTTTTGGAAAACCGCGGGTTAACTTGCATGGAAAAGCATCGTCGCGCTGATGAGAAATATGAAAATTTGTTATCGATGCCTGGAGTAATACGTTTGAATACTGATGATTCAAAAACCTTAAGCGAGTCTCATAACACAGGTTCATTAGCATAAATATACATTTAATCTAAAATCTAGGGTCACATACGGCTTTATTTTATTAACGAAATTTAAAAAACTATTTTTCTAAAGTTTTGTTTAGCTTTATCAAAATTTCACCAGCTTTTGTTTGTTGTTACAGGGATTGATTTCTGCAATCATTATATGCATACATTACAATATCAAAAACATGATAGTAACGCATCGCCTGACAGGCAAACTGTACTAAGCGCACCCTCACCCTCATGGATTAATTCGTTAAGTGATGCATACAAAAAGCCAATTGCCGACTTGTATGAGAGTATGCTGAGAATGATAATGCATAATCAAATCCTTGAGGTAACCAATTTATATTTTCTTTGGTAACTTTTTGTCGACTGTACTGTGTCTACTAATATAAATTTAGACATGTATTCATAGAATAATATCTTAGAGAATCACGTCTTACGTTATTTCTTACTTTGGATGAAGATGTTCCAAGTAGCATCAATATAATATTTAGCAGGTTTAGCTCACCAAAGCACAGTTGATAAAAAGCCCAAAAGCGAGTTAATATATTTATGTGAAACTGATCAGACTATAAAATTTTTTAGAATTGGCAGAAATTCAAACATATTCGCACAGAATTGCAGAACACGTTTAGAAAACTTTTAATAGATCACATAAAATTTTGCTGCGAACATAAAGTGGATTCATTTTTCTGGAAAATATTGTTTTATAACGTACGTGGATATCTAAAACAAGAGGCGACCGCCCGCTCAAAAAAATACATGATATCCCTAATTGAAGACGGTTTAAAGTTTTATAAAGACTTGTATCAGCATTTGGCAAAGAAACACCTCGCCAGATTACAGGAGACGGATAATAGTCATGAAACTTCACATCGTTCACATTATAAGAACGTACTTATTGCAAAAGTCACTGCGCAAAAATTGCTCATATGTTTGGGAGATTTATGGCGTTATAAAATCAAGGAGCATCAAGGACAAGATTACTCTGAAGCAGCGAAATGTTATCAACAGGCTCAATCCTTAATACCATCTAATGGAATTCCTTACAATCAACTGGCTATTGTGTCGATATATTCCGTGAGTTATTTTTTATTTGACGTTATAGGTCACATATCGGTGTCGTGTAATAGGTATATCAGCAGCAAGGACATTATTGTCCGGGAAATTAGATTATCTATATGGCATTTTTCGTGTTTGAGCACACAAACATTTTTGACCGGACTGCAACGTCCAACAAGTGTCGACCCAAATGCGACATGGTACATAGACATAAAAAATATATACGATATATTTTTATCTGACATATGTTTTATACAATAATTTACACGTAATTGTAAATTGCAGGTAAAGAAAAGAGGCTATTCCAAAAAGTCTGTCCCTTCAAAATTAACTTAAAATGGCCAAACACGTAAAGTACGCAAAAACTGTTTCCTTTCCAAAACATCACAATGTGATCCCTCAGTACAGTGCACAACCGTACAGTGATGCCAAGAATGTAAATGGCACAAGTATTCACTAACGACTTATACCACGCTTTTTTTTAGGCTTTTAGTTAGTGATCTGTTTTTAAGTATATACACTCGTCTTCTATTTTTTTAAATCAGGATTGTTTGCATTTTACAAAACTCAAATATCCTATTACATGAACGCATGTGAGATAAAGAACATTTTTAGAGGATAGGACAGATACTTTGTTGTAAGCATGGATTACCAAATTGTTCTTATTGTTGCATGACTAAATTTCTTGTCTTTACAGAGAAAAAAATTAGATGCTATTTACTTCCATATGCGCAATCTTATGTCTATGAACGCTACGCAATCTGCCCGTGAAAGCCTTTTAATTTTATTCGATGAAATCCGCAAAAAGGTATGATATTTTATATTACAATTTTATAATTTTTTCGCAATAACTAAAGATCCTATCAAGTACCGATTGCTTAATTTTAAACTCATAAAAATTGAAATAGAAATGTGGAAGTTACAACCGCAAAAGTAAAGGCGATCCCTTGCCTATGTCAAAAAAAGGAAGCATTTTCTGAAAATATTTAATATATTACGACATATCTGAAATGTATTGGAAATACTAAACCGCGCTAAAGTTTTAATTAAAGGTTCTGTTCTGTTCTTATTGCATCACTTTCCTACCAGAATTAATGTTAACGATTATATATTATAGTTTGCGTTTATCCGTTGGGTTTCTTTTTACAACATACCTTTTTAGCACCATGAGAGCGAAATGAAAACATCTCCTATAAGGCAAAAATATCGTTGCAACGCTAAGTCGTCCAAATTTATGCGTAAGGAAGTGTGGATTTACCCAGATGGTATGCGGTGCTTACACCGCACAGATTGCACAGATTGCAATGGCAGCAACTATAAACTTGCTGTCAGCGAGGAAAAACGTCTTATGGAAATGGATCCAGAAGAGGTAAAAATTTTTTTCGTATATTTATATTTATTTTTCATCAGCTGCATTGATATGAAAAGCAATCCAGCCGAGAATGGGCGTGTTCGAATGTTAAATATGGTCAAATATCTGAAGTTTGAAAAAATTTTATAAATGTCGATGCGCTTTCGACTACAAAGTTAGTTTGTGTTTTTACTATGACTGTCCCCACGTCCAAGATTCCGGCCGGTTCATATATAGATATAGATAACACGCTATTTCCAAGCCAAATGCAACTTTTTTTATATCTACTACGCCATTTCATCAAGCAATATACATTGCAAAAGGCGGGTTATCAATTTATAAAAAAGGGCATTTTAGTAATAGTAAGATGTTTTGTGTCCTCTATTCGGCACATATTGCTTTTCGGTCAAATTTATTTTTATATCGACCTTTGTTTTAAATTTTCCAGCTCTTACGACTGATCGTGTCTTTGTATTTGTATGTCATTGGTAAACTCTTCACGGGCGTTGGGTAAGAGTTGTTCTTATATCGACACTACCTTTCACAAAGATATTTTAATTGTTACAGAATGGAGCAGATTCAAGAGAACCAGCGGAAGTTCATATTAGAACTAAGCGTTTTGTTAATGAATGAGAAAGCACAATTACCCCGCTCTCATTTTTTAAAAATAGTCGCATTAAATATTTTTGTTTTGGAAACTAATATGAAAAAAGGTTAGTGAAATTTACCTGTTCAATCTATACAACATAAAAGTTAAGCGAATTTCATAATTTTTACATTGGAAGTACGATGCTTTGTTTTATTTGAATGTTCCTCTATTTTTTTTTTCAAATTCGAAACGTAAGAAACCGACGTTATTTAAATTGCGCTACCCTGGATTTTACATAACTAGCAACAAGTCAATGTTATCACTCAAACTTTAGATAGTATCATTATTTTTTAATTTATTTCCAAATCGTTTCTACTACTCGAACATCAAGGATGTTATCGCTATTGACGTGTGCTACGAGGTCCTTTTTCACGCCCTTTACTGTAATAATACGTCATGCATACCGATTTGTTTTCAATAAGTTTTGATTTATTTGGTTGTTCAACACTTTGCGTTTTACGGTTGCGTTAGTAAATTCATCTGCTTTTACTTGCTCACATTTTTCGCTTTTCCGTACTGAATAGCTTCCTTAACTGCAATCAGATTCTTGCTAAAGCTAAAATTCTTAATTTCACATTCTTTGAAGTTTTCCAAGTTCTTAAAAAGAGAAAAATTACGTTCCCTTGCCTTAATCAGGCAATATTCTTTCTATTTTTCTATTTGCTTTCTACATTTTTATATTTTTTAACTTTTTTTCGCAATTGTTCACTTTGCACTTGTCAAGCGGCTTTGCTTTTACAAAAGCCGTTAGCTGGTTTTTTTCCTTTGCACGGTTTATAAAAAAACTACCATTTGTTGACAGTAGAGGGAGAACACAGTTGCTTTCAATAAATTCCTTAACAATCTCCCATTGGCTTATTCTTTAAAGTCACCAAATTTTACATGCTTATTCTCAGATTCTCAGGCAATTTTTATTGAAAAATGTAAACAAACGTATTTAAATATATTCTCAGATGGGGAGCCAATTCTGTTAAACCTAAAGAATTCTGCTAAATGAGAATAAGTGGTGGAAAACTACTTAAACAATTCTGTTACAGCTAAACCATTTTGCTAAATGAGAATAAGCGGAATGATGTTTCGAAAGAATTTCTTAGAGTGTTCAAAATCTTACTATTTGTAATAAATCAAGACTGCTGTATATTTTATTTGCATAAAACATTATTTACATATTTGTTTTTAAGAAGTTATATAAAAAACAGAGTAATTCATTTTTAATTCAAATTCGGTTGTCTTAGCGCGACCATCACGACTCACGGGTAAAGCAACTCTTAGATTGGCTTTCACACGGCTCACTTTCAAATCTCTGTTAGAGTGATAAAAATGATTATCTGAGTTCCTTTCACTTGCACATTTATTTATGTCTTTTTTATCTTTTTCCATTTTTCATAATTATCCATAGCATAAGAAAAGCAACGTTTTGAATGAAAATGAACAAAAAGAATACGAAATAATTCACAAGTTCATAGTGTGAGAATTATGCTGCTGTCTCTGCTAAAGTTTCAAAAACTGAAAATAGAAAGCTTAGAATAAAATCTCAAAACATAAAACATAACTGGAAGAAACGCACAATAAGTATCTGATGTTTGAGAAAAGGAGCCCGGCAGAAAATCGTTACATTCTATCAGCTAGGTTCTTCTACTGTGCTATTTTGGACATTAATTGACTTACCCTCATTTGCGGCGATATTTACCCGTACTTATGCTCGTAATTCTTGACTTGCAATATAGTATCGTTTCAAACAATATAATAATAGGGTCGGGATCATTGACTATAAATAAATAATTGCAAGATATCATATATTGAGACCTGTCTAGGTCAGTTACTGACTGATATGATACCTATGTGTTATACACGCGTTATAGGTAATTCTTCATTCAAACCGTATGCATAATAATAATACGGCACCAACACAAATTAGTCTGCCCTGCTATTGATTACAAAGAATAGCTTTTGTTACTTGAAAACCTGCTTTTTCAATTTAGATTTATGACCATAAATTAAGAATGAATGCGTTCAACTTCAACTGTTTATCAAAATTTTTTTCTTCAATGAATGCTCAAAGCGGAAGGAAACATCACGCAGATAGATATATTAGAAATATGCATTATAAATATTTAGAAATATACACATTTTACTATTTCCTTGATAAGTACTTTTGAGCGCTGCAAACAAGAGCACATGGATAATATTTTTCAAATCTTCAAGTGAACATAGTTTTCCAGCGATCACCGCAAGGTCGCTTTACTCTTGTACTTATTTCTATGCCCAGTAATGGATTAAAAGTTCTGTGTTAGCTCAATTTTAATGAAGTGACAACAAGTGATTATTGGTGTGTAACAATTCATTAAAATTTAACTAAAACCCATTAATACATTTCAGAAACGCAGCGTTACCATGCATTTAATTTTTGCAACCAAATATTCGGTGTGATTTTACGCAAAGCTAACGGCTTTCTAAGCGACTTAAAGGATAATAGTGGAAAGTACGACGATCAAAGGTAAACTTTCTCTTCCCGAAACTTCAAAGTTAAGCACGAAGTTATAATTTTATGCATGCGCATTTTATTTAGCTTCTTCGATTTGAACACGTTGCTACAATTTCTGAGAATCTATACGATTTGGCTTACGATAAATGTTAATATTTGGGAGCCTGTTAAAAGTAAAGAGTAAGGAAATGACAAATAATTTATAAAAATAATATATTAATGTTTTGAAACTAATGTAGTCAAATTACTTGCGATTGCTGGCCAGAATTAGAGCGACTGTTTAATCTTATTAAACAAGAAAATTTAAATTTGAGTTCAGAGGAAGATATCCTTTTAGAGGAGGATTTATTTTTGTCTGGATTTACACCGATATCCAATCTAATGGCTAAAACCACACATGACATGGTTTGTTCCGAAGAGAGTTTACAATATAAAAGCAGAATGTTGAAAATCTTGGATTTTGAACAAGTCTACGTTAAAAATAAAAGCCGTGTACAATTTTCGGAGGGACCGCATTTTGTTGCAGAAGACTTAAATTCAGACATCAAAAGGGTCTTAGATGACCTTCAAAGTACCAAAACGATTATTAGAACCAAACAAATTGGCCAGTTTGAAGGACCCTCCAAGGAAATATCTATAAATAATTTAAATGAAATTTCAAATCGCAAATCATTGAAATCAAGCGTGACCGACAATGCGCTGGACAATAAGATAAGTCATTTAACAAAATTAAAGAAGGAATTAGAAGCGCAATCTAATGCCAAACGTATGTACCATAATAAATTAAATGAAATTTTGAAGTTGGTGGACACAAAGGTATACATCGAAGTTCGGCCGAAATGTTTGTTGCCTGACACAAACTGTTTTATCGATTGCTTAAAGGATTTCGAGCGTATTCTTCAGGAATTCAAGTGCTACTCCTTAGTTATTCCGCTTACAGGTACGGCTAAGATTCTGCTTTAAACTTTGCGATTATAATCTGGACAAAAACTTCTAGTGATCAAAGAATTAGATGGCCTATCCAAAGGGGTAAAATTAAATCATACTGGGAACTGGCAAAAGCAGCGTATACACCATTATGATGACGTTTCTACTCGCGCCAAAAAGTCCTTGGAATTTATTAAATCATCAAAAAATTATATTAAGTAAGTTAAATTATCTAATAATTACTGCACTCGATTTAGAAATCCGTAACCTTAAGCCCCTTTGCCACTTAAAGTAATGCGCTGTTTAGAATAAATTTGTAGTAAGTGTTTCCCGCAAGGTAGGGAAAAAATGAGAACATTTTAGGTTTAAGTATTCTGCCGTTATATGCTATATCAAACAAAACGCATTTAGGGCAAAACTTTTGTATCTCTATTTCATAACATGTTACATACCTGGAGGCACTTACGAGCACTACTCCTTTATTTTTTGATAAAAGAAGCTAAAATTAAATTTGATCGAAACATTCTCTCTCCTTCTCTGTCTGTCGACAACAAAATACATACTTTCAGACCACGGTTTAAATATCGCGCTGTCAACGTGTATTTATATAGTCTTTGCTGTCTATCGCTATGGATCTTATAATATTTGACAAATATAACGTAGCTTCTGAATCTTAACACATGTTTGCATATGAGATAGTGTTAACATTTGGGAGCCTTAGTCCTTAGAGCGAATCATTTTTCGATTTTATTTAAATGTAAATGCGTTTGAACAGAAACCCGTTTGCATATTTTAACAGAAATCCATGCCTTTTAACAGAAATCCATGCGTTTTGATGGGAAACAGAAAACTAAGAACAGATGAATGATTGGTTGTTCTTCTTTATGACAAAGGTTTAACGCTTGATGTGGTTGCAAATGTTGAAGTCAACTCTATTCTCACCACATAGTATTTTTTTTTTTTAATTTCCCGCAGATATATTAGGGAAAAATTATAGGTTATAAACAACAATTAGAGAATATTTATGTTTATATACTTTTAGACCATATAATCTTTTTCGTCCTCTTTAAAAAAATGTAAAATAAACGTGTGGTTTACACAAGCGTTGTTGTTGCAAATAAACAGACGATCAAACTTAGTTTGGTTAAGTTAACGAATACATAATTTCATTCTGAATATTTATACACATACAAAATTTACAACCTTTTTAGATGTGCCACTACAAAAGGATCCATTATAAATCCATCGCTGTTCGCTTTAGTTGAGGAGGAAAATATATCCAATGATGACAAAATTTTAGCAACAGCCGTTGCTATGTCCAAAACGATGAGTTCCGAGACGAGTTCAGGTAACTTTATTTTAAAAGTTCTGCTTTTCAACTGTTTCAACTCATGTAAACTGTTCATAGACGGTAGATGCTTTATACAAACCGAATTGGTGCTGATTACAACCGATCGCAATTTACGTGTTAAAGCTTTGTCGCGAAATTTGGCTGTTAGCGAGTTACCAGAATTCTTGCAGTGGGCTCAGAATTGCAACTCTTAAAATATAGTAAAAATTTCCAATAATAAATAGACAAATTTACAAACTGTTGGTTTTCGTTAGGTACCAGGCAAAACTTAGGCAACACATATATATGTGTATTCTTCTAAAATATGTTTGGTGTTCACATTTATTTTGATGTAATATTCTATTAAAAAAGAAAATTTTGAATTTTTTACACAAATAACTTGATATTTCAATTGCATCAATGGTAATATGGTTATTATTTTCGAGATTTGATATTGTTTCAAGTTTCTAGAACAAAACGTCTCGGCTGAATAACGTAATGGTGGTTCGAGCAGTTTTTCATGACATTTTCCATTTTGTCTGCTTATCATTAGCTTAGTTCCTTTGAGGATCCCGCGTACGAAATTAAATCGCTGTTTGCATTGAAATTATTATATCAAGCATTTTTTTGGAGCTTGGTGAATGTAGTTGATTTCCTGCCCTGAAAATCATCGCATAATAATAAAGTTTTCCGTAAGCATTTCCTTGTTAGTGATAATAATTCGCTTTGATTGTGCAATTCCTGTGAATGGCGGACGGATGCTTTTTACGTTGCGTAGTGATGAGAAGCTAGCTTCTAATCTCTATGATAATGTTACGAGTATTGAAATATGTAAGAAATCTATCTTAATCGAATCCGTTTTGTTCAGCTGCCTAATTCTAATTCATTTCTCCATCCCAATTTTTAAACAAAATTTTCCATAACTTGTACAAAATCTAACAAACAACAAATAAAATTCCTCGATAATGCCATCACGGGTGCGAAAAATACTTGGCAGTGAATAAATGAAATTCGAACTAAAGTGTATAAAGCTGTCACATTTCCTTTAATTTTCATATTATTACTTTGCTTTCCAATTGAAATAAACTTTAACAATCTAGTGGGATTTGTATTTACAGTTGAGAAACACGTACATAAAATGAATTAAATTCACTTCACATAAAGTGTGAAAAGTTAGTCGATGACATCAATGATTTTTCAAATCGAATATTTCTCTCAGCAATGGTTCGATCAAAGAAGGATTCACGTTCAGGTATACGCCGATGATGAATTTATTTAGACGCACAACGTCTGAAATTTTCTCAATGAGTTTTATGAAGGCAGATTTAGCTTCACAGCCTGAATAAACTGATTCCAAATATCTTCGTAGCAGATAATAGTATGAATTCTATAACACGAGAAGATATAAATATATACGATTAATATTTTATATTTAAAATGTTAGCTTTCTTACCTGCTCCAATTTTATCACGTCCGAATGTATAACACGAGATCTTGTCGGTGTAAAAAGAAGAATAGCACACATTATCAATATAATGTTTTCATCCATACGCCATTTTTCATCAAATGTACTAATAAACTTCAAATGTTCTTCATAGACATTTCCCTTTGCTAGTTTTAGAACTTCAGCTCGTATATTCGACATATCCTCTTTGGTATGCGGAATCTATATTTACAAACATTTGCATAACCAAGTTATTGATTAACATTGTTAATAACTAAAAAAATGGGAAGATGTTAAAAAGCCGATCTTATCAAGAAGATGTTGAAAATTATAATTAATTAAATGTATTTAACAAGTGGATGAAATGGAGCGCAAAGGAGTTGTTCAATGCTCATGTAAATCAAACCTGATGAGAGGAGTTATTTTTAAACCATCGTGGAAGCATATTAGATTTATTAGTTTGTTTGCAATATAGGCAAAGCATCCGTTTAGAATATATATTCTTGGTTACTTAAAAATTCTCAGGCGATTTAATTTCGCCCAGCTCTCGCGTGAGCGTTTAAACGTGGCAGTTTTATTTCGAAAATGAGGAAGATCAACTTCGAACCACGCTGCTAATAGAAAAAAACTGCACTGCGTATATGATCCAACCATTAGGCATAATTATTTTTAAACTTAATTACATTTTATTTTAAAATACATTGCCCAAGTATATTCACGTGGGTTCGAATCTCCTCAAGTGCGGTAGAGTTTTTAATAAAAGCCGATAGCCTTAGATGCTAGTGTTTTTAAGAGTTTAGTCTTAGAATTTATTTCTCTGGCGAAATTAATAATAATAATAATATTCACGCAAATCTAGTAGTATTTAGCGTAAACATCAATAACGTGACTGTGATTGACAAACACCAACTCGGAGGAGGTAAACAGGAGAATACTATTTTTATAAAAAATGCTTCAACAAAATTATCCGGCAGAGATTGTATTTATATCGAAAATACGGGATAATTTAAATATAATAACACATCTAAACATATCAACATCGTCAGGCCACTCAAAGATAGTAAACAAATCAACGGGTGAATGAGTATTAAAGACGTAAGTGTTGGAATTGGATGGCTGACGAAGCCGGTATGTCGATTTGATCTTGTACATTAAATTCATGAACCGATTATTTAACATCTTCTGTAATACCTTGAGAGCGGCGATCATAAAAAGTGTACGTTACTAACCTTCCATGTGTTACGATCATCATCGTAGGTTAATACAGAACGCATTATCATCATTTCTGTACAGCCACCTTTTAGTAAAGCCACTTGATCTTCTTGGCACATATCACGGAAAGCTGCAATTTTTTTTGCCATTTTTATAAGGCGTTTTATGGCTACTGCAGTTAAGTTGATGACTTGCAGCAATTTGAAGTCTTGCTGACTTTCTTCAGGCTGAAATCAACAAGAAAAGAATGTAAATGTACTACAAACAAATGTGTAAAAACTAAAAAAAAGTCTTGGGTAAAAGTGTGGTCGCTTATTCAGTTGCAAAAAACTTCGGACTGACCGTTGAATTGAAATTTGTTATATTATGCAGATTATTTACAGAAGACCATTGTCTTTCTCAAGTCGTTTTCATTCAGCCCTTTTTCACAAATGAACTAATTCTGTATTTATATCATTCAAAGTCTGCTATCAATTTTCGAATATTACTATTAAAATATTCGTGCAGGACATCGAAATCAATATCTACAGTTTTTAAGAAATTCTGCAAATGCACTGCAATGCAGGGGTTATAATGAAACATGAAACATGTCACGCACTACATTATTCTGAGTGCGTACCTTTACTTCACAGTGCCAGAGTACGTGTCACAGAAAGAAAATAAAAACGTACAACAAAAAACCTTTTGCCAACAGCAGCTTCTTAGGAGTGATTTGTTTAAACAAAAATGTTTAAATGTTAATCTGACTTTCCGTCTTCGATTTTACTTTTATTCTTTTTAACCCAAATTCCATTCAACTTTAGCTTACCTTAATCCTATCATTGCTCATTAGCACAGTCAAGTCGTCATCAACCGGCAGATAAAGGGCCTCACTCGCCGTCTTCAACTCGCTCAATTTCATTATTTCAATTTCATTAAGATTATGCGACGTAGACGTTCCCCGGTGATTTTGCGATGGTTTAATGTCATGTTGGGTAGTTGAAACATTTTTATTTAACATTAAAGGCGAAATTATCACATTTTGCGAGTTGTTGCTATTGCTGGGAGGGGTAACGTTTTCTTCTTTTTTCGTATTATCTTTTGATGGTAAATCGTTAAAAGCTTGATATTCAATTCGTATTACTTCAGTGAGTACCGATTCTAATGAGTTAAGATTATCCGTAAAGTTAAAGATAGAATCGTCGGAAAGTGAATTTTGTGCAAAAGTTTTAATGTCAAAGTATTCGTTTGCAAATTCGGCAGCTGCAATGTCCACTTCAGAAGCCATAGTTGAGTCACCACACATTACACGACTTACACGCTGATTTGAGTGCGAGGCTACGGAATTATGGCATTTCAAAGCAGGTAAGGAATCCGAAGTAAATGGCAATGGTAACGTGTTATCAAAATTATTCTGCTCTACATGGACGTCTTTTAAAATTATCGGGTCATCTATATATGTTTCCCTTACATATTTATTATTATCAGCAGCGAGTGTAGTAGAATTAGCAGTTTTGGCTACTACACTTTCATGATCTATCTGAAACTGTAACAATTTTTGTTGATGTGGACTTGTTAATGTGTCACCTCCTTTCAGTAAGCGGTTTAACAGACTCAAAGCCTCAGCAGGGGAATTCATGAATTTATCCATTATATGTGCAGCATTTGCTGGCGAATCCATGAGATTTCGTACAAACTGTAATACATTTTCAGGTGAACTGATAACTTTCGATATAATGTCCAAAACGTCCTTGGGCGAGCTCATAGACTTTGTAAATACTGCAAGGGGGCTTAGTGGAGAGTTCATGATTTTACTGATGATTTTTAGAGCATCGCCTTAAATATAGATGAGAACAAATGTGTTCATGTTAGAGAATAAATGCCGGTCCATTATTTTTAATTTTACCTGGATAATTAATCAGATGTGATATTAATCTTAAGGCATCAACTTGGGAATCAATAATTATTTCTAGGGTTGAGAGAGCTTCTGTTGGCGTTCTCATTAACTTATTTATGGCTTGTGATGTTTGCTCCGGGTCACACAAAATGAAATCTACAATCTCTTTGCTTGTCATATATTCCGGGTTTAAATTTTTGGCTAGCACCGCAGAACACAATTGTGGAGATGTACTTGGGCTTAACGTTCTCAATCCATCGCAGGAGCCACTACTTTGTTGTGAGTAAGAATCGCAACCATTACTATTAATAGTTATGGTCTCTTCATGCAACTCGTTCTCACTGGGTTTATTTAATTTACTGCTTTTGTCATTTTTAAGTTTATTCATAACACGATTACTTTCTACTTTACGCCTCTTAACTAATTTGTCTTCCTCAGACATGATGTTCTCACTTTTCATACCAATATTTAGGCACTTCTTCAAACGACATTTCTGACAAAATCTCCTGGTTATCACCGTAACCTCACAGTTTTGATTGAATAGGCAGTTGAATTGCTTTTTAGACAAAGCATTCCGCCTGAAAAAGGCCTTGCAACTTTCACAGGTTATAGCATTAAAATTGTATCCGAGGGCTTTGTCACCACACACAGCACAAGTTTTTAGAGATGACATATCCTTTCGCATAAGTGTTAATATTTTTTCATTCCACGAAGTAAATAATTTAATTATTTTTACCATCTATTCACAATTTTATTACGTTGATTAATTTATCTGACGTTTATCAGAGCTTTTAGTGCGGCCACCATAGCTTTTTTAGTTATCTTTCATCTCAGTTTGAATAGCGTTTAAAAGCGCTATTGTTCTTAACGCGAATTTGGTGCCATATGAGAGTAATTAAATGAGCAAGCCTGAATTCTAAGCCTTGCGTTGTAAACGTGAACGTCTTGGAGTAAATGTTTTTGTTTTTTGAATGTGGCCAATATGTCCAACGGAATATTTATCCGCTTTTGGGTTTGCCTACTACTGAGTATTATTTCTGATCATTTTTACTTACGAGTCCTCTATTTTCACACCGATAAAACAAAGAAAACAAGGAAAAGTAGTTGGTGGTAGTAGTGGTTATTAATTCCATTGCTCAACTTTTACACGTTTTCTTCAAGTTTTTCAATTATATCGTTAGATAGTCAAACAAACGCAAATAACACCAATTATGTGAAAAGAAAAAGAAGAAGACGACTATTATTTATGAATATACATTTTACATCCTTATTTTAATATGTGTGAACAAGAAGTAAGTTTAAGAACATTCCGATATGATCCGATAAATGTATAAAATAAATTCTTTGTTTTCTTTACTTAGTAGTTCTTGTTGATTGTGCGTGTTAATGTCAAGCCAAACGAAGTTAATTCTAAAAACACATTGTTGTTGCCGACACTGACGCATATTCCAAAGGCGATAAGCAGGACGCTGAAATAAAACGTCAGAAGAATGTGTTAATTTTATCAATATAGGAAGAAAACACAAGTTTAGGGACGAACGGTAGTTCACCTGACTTACGATCGTTAAACTGCGGTTTTTCTTTTTTGGTTTGTTTGCCAATATGAATAGTTTAAAGGGTTCCGACGTTCGAGAATTGCACCGGCCTAAGCATAATAAGAAATTAAATCGTTACAAAGCGACTTTAAAATTTCTTAATACTCCGGAAAAGTTAGAAGAACGCAGCAGGATTCACGAAAGTCTCAAGAATTGTAAACCAGGAGAGGAATTGCAGAGTATTTTCAAAATATTGTCGATAGATCACGAATGCTTGGAACTAATTTTCGTCCGGATACGAAACTGCTTAGCAAAAGAGTTAAAAACATTAACAGATCAATTGAAAATTTTTGCTTTTGGTTCCATAGCCACTAATTTGGCACTGAGAGGTTAGTATTTATAGTTAACTTTGATACATCTCTAGATAAGGAATAACTAAAATTCAAATGCAGATTGTGATATTGACGTCTATATAGATGTTTCATCTGTGCAGTTGCAAAGTACTGAGAGCCGACGCAGCCAGCAAAAGTGCGATCCCCTTAATCGCAAAATCTTCAATCGTGTATATAGAGTTTTAATTAACAGCAAACATTTCTTGGATGTTCTTGCGATCCGTAGTGCCAGGGTGCCTATTGTCAAATGCAAACATAAAGACACGGGTTTCAGCGTTGATATTAACCTAAGTTGCCCTAGTAGCGTAGACAGCACTCGCTTTCTGCAGGCTTTAGTTCGTACTGACGTTCGTATACACTTCCTGCTGTTATTTTTGAAAATATGGGCTAAACATATGCAAATTGTGAAATACGGTAATATGAGCAGCTATTGTCTAATCATATTGGCGATATTCTATTTGCAACAGCCTCTAGAGAATTACAACAATCTGGCAATTTTATTGCCAATAAAGAAATTGCAAGCAAATTGCAACGAGCATCTCGTGCAAGGTGTAAATTATGCTTTTGATATGGAAAGTAATGAAAACAAACCTTGCCTACCCCCCTCCATAACCACCTTTGAATTAATCAAAGGTTTTTTTGGTTTTTATAAAAGTTGTGACTTATCTTCTGTTGTATTGTCACCTTATTTGGGCAGCGCAATTCCCCGTAACGATTTCGTCAATGACAGCATTAACTTCTTCGAGTATCAGAATCAGTTGCTTACTACGAGTCAATATTTTAATAAAGATCCTGAACAACTTCGAATTGATACTCGTCTTTGCGTTCAAGATCCATTCTGTCTTACTCAGAATGTGGCAAAATCTATAAACGGGACTAATACAGAATATTTTGAATATTGCCTGGCTAATGTTTTTAGTGTTTGTCAGAACAACGATAACATGATAGAATTGTACGAGAAACTCATCTTCGATTTACACGATCCGTTTGAAATCTTACCAATGAAAGTAAACGAAACCAAACATGTTGAGCTAAGCGAAGAAGACTTGAATGGCAAATCGGAAAAACCACAACAGCTTGATAACGAGAAGCAACAGCATGTTAGCTTTGTATTCACCCCCAGTCGCAACGATATTAAAGCTATAATTGCGCATAAAGACTATTCACAGAGTTTGGACGATAATCTGCAAATCTTTAAATATTGGTCCAAGTGTTATACCAAAGCAGTTGAAATTATACTTTCGCAATTGTATCGTTTAGAACTCAACGAAAATTCAACGCAGCAAGAAGAAAACCGATCACCGATCAAGGACAGTGGCAAATGCGAAGACATAAAATCATGGTTCATTTCGGGTTCGATTGACTTATGGACTAGCCGTTATCATCAGAAAACACACGATCGAACATTCATGGAATATCATATGGATCAAACTGAACGTTTATACAAAGCCCGTGCTCAAAATCCATTATACTCTGTGGATATCAAAGCTTTGCTAACTCTTACGGTAGCAATGAAATATCAAAGCATTGAATTAAGGCTTCATTTACCGAACGATTCATCAGAACTTATTTTAAACAAAAAACATCCGCTCAAACGTTTCTTTAACATGTTGAAATGCACAATTGCAAATTTTAGCCTTAAAGAAGCTTTACAATCGTCATTAATTTCCTAACCAAACTTTTTATTTTATTGATGAAGGAAGAAACACATTGGCTCTTCATTTTCTACCGCCAAAAATAGCATCTCAAAAATGCTCAAAAACATATATATGTCGTCAAATGTCTAAAATTTGAAAATAACTATTTGTGTTTTGTCGTTTTACTTTTAACATTATCTTTCTAATTTTACATCTACAATTCTACATCATGTATGATATATAATAATATTAGGGATATCACAATGTAATTATGTTTATTTTGAACAGAATAAACCAAGTGTATGCGCAGAAATATGCAAGCAATTTATTTATAGCTGTAAGAAAATTCGATCGGCTGTTTTCATCTTATTTTCTCTTCCTCTGTCTTCGCCTGGGCTCGTGGAAAGGTTCAAAGCGGTTGTCAATATTAATTTGTTAAACGAGAATTGCAAAAACGCCCACGAGTTCTAGTTCAAATCTGTAATAATTGAAATGAATTGCTTCTGCATGTCGTCCATTCGTTCTCATAGTCCTTCTTGAAACGTTTATCAGTCTTTTCCTACTAAGGTTATAGTGTATGTTCATAATATAATTTGAGCATGAAAGTTATTTTTTATTGCGAAATGTATTATTAATTCCTTTAAAAGTGAGCAGAGAGAGATTTTCGTTCGTGTCTCAAGATGCATTACATTGTTAAAACTAGTGCTAGTAACACCTTATTCCTCGCGTTATACGGGGGCTAAAGCCCCGTTATGGGAATCGTAACCACTAACAATGCTGGAGTCTCAAAGCGAACAGCGAACACCCAAGAAATGACGTTCACTAGATATAAATAAATATATATATAAATTTGAGAAAATCAAACGTTTATTTTTTTGGTATAGGTTGCTTGTTCTTCTTCTAATAACATGGCTGAGAGTCGTATTAAGGAGTTTACTATGAAATAGATCGAGCCTAGTGCTTTGGAAAGTTTGATCAACTTTGCGTACAGTGGACAGGTGCGCATCGATAATCAAAATGTCCAAAGTTTGATGGTCGGCGCTTCGTTTCTTTAGTTGCTTAAGGTCCGTAACGCTTGCGCCGACTTTCTCATTTCACGTTGCCATCCTCACAACGTTTTGGGGATAAGAATGTTTGGGAATACGACGAGCTGTACAAGTCGCCGAAAAGTATATCGATCAAAATTTTACAAAAGTTTCGCAATCGGACGGATTTCTAGCACTAGATTTCGATGAACTAATTGATCTAATTAAACGTGACGAACTTAATGTAATCTCTGTAGAGGTTATATTTGAAGCCTGTATAAAATGGGTAGTGTATGGGAAAGAAAAACGGGCGTTCATGTTCCCACAAGTGGTGGCCCAAGTGCGTTGATCTTTGTTATCACCTCAATTTTTGGCAGATCGAGTGGCCCGGGAAGAACTTATAAGATCTTGGCATCAGTGTCGAGATTTATTGGATGAGGCTAAAGATTTCCACTTAATGCCAAAGAGAAGGGGACTCTTGCAGAGTTTTCGGTAGATAATATCATTATCCCATAGAATAGTCTCGAATTAACAAATGCTCCTATGATAATTTAGCAAAATTAAACTGGAAGAGCTAAGGTACTAAAAATAAGTTTGTTATATTATATTATGTTGTTTTTAAAGAGGTTCAACTGAAGGAGTTCTTTCATGGTTAAAATCAATTTAATTGGAAGAGTTTGAAAAAATTTATTTTTAATTAAATTGTAAGTGTGAATTTTCTATAATTTAATATAATAATGTAGATAAAAGTATATTTAATTATAAAATAGTTTTCTAATTTTCTAATTTTAATTGAAACAAAGTTCTTCTAATTCAGTTTTTCTTTTCATTTTTTATAATTTTATACAAAAATTTAATTAAAAGCGATCTACATACATAACAATTTTTAAAATTAATATTACTTTATTGTAATAAACTTTTTTAAAATTTCAATTATTTAAATCAAATGATTTCAGATGTCTCTTAATCATTTTTTTCTTAATTCCTTCAATTAAATTATTTTAATTCAATAAATTATAGTTTTTAAATTTTAATTCAATTAATTACAATTTTGGAAAATTAAACTACATTTAATTTTGTAATTGTTTTCTTCATTAAAATACCGTTATCATAATTTTTCAGTGGTTACAATTTCTGAAAATCTATCCGATTTGACTTACGATTAACTATTTGAGAGAACATCGGCAAAGTATAAAAATCTTGATCGAGACGCAAGTATGGTCAATAACGCAAAGTATAAATCAATTCTCATCAACAATTCCTCGCTCCATTAAGCAATAGCAGCTAGCAGTTGTTAAATGACTTTCGCATCGGTTTTATGCAGCAGAAAGCTCCGGAGATCCCACAAAGTATATATAATCTTGATCCGCATAAAATTCTGAATCGATTTAAGTATGAATGTCTGTTGTCAACAGACTCCTGGCCGCAAAAATGAATCTTCAATTTTGGTAGAACCAGTAAAAGCTCTTGCACGCTGGTTGGTATTGAAAATGGGTCAAATCGCCCAAATTGAGAATACCTCGGTTTTTCAAAATGGCCCAAAAAATTGATTTTTTAAGCATTACTCATAGACCACGGCAGATAAGTCTACAAAAAGTTGAACGTATATTCTATCCATGAGCTATAGTACCTGTATAGTACGAAAATGGGAAGAATTGACCACTCCTACTCAATATTGTGATGTATCGAAATTTAAGCTCTTTTTCAATAACCTTATTACGCACAAAAGCAAGCTTAGACTACCTTATAAAGTATACGAATTATTGGCCACTTGCAAGTTCTCAATGTATTTAAGCATCGCCGTCTGTTCGTCAAATTGACGCAAACTTTTCAATCGCCCACACGCCACACGCCACAAGAAACACTGTGAATGCCTTTGCTCTCTCTTATTTTTGCTAATTGCCCCCAACATACAACATTAACACCGTATAAATTTCCACTTTTATTCTGAAAATATAAAAAATTAGCCGCGCTCAACCAACATCATAGAGTGCGAAAATTTAGTTCTATTCCTTTTTTTTGGGATAATGATGATGGGTATAAAAAATTCGGTCATGACAAAATATAATTTTCTTACTTGTCCGCTTCTAAACGACATCAAAAGATTACTCGTCTCTTCCGCATACGGTTGAAATAATGTTAGCAGAAGTGCAGCGATTTGAATAAAATATTTTGCACCTCATATTGTAAAGTGTCGTCTCCAGAAGCGTCATTAAAAGAATCGAAGAAGTAAGTGAGAGATAAGAAAGCACGATTTCTTAAAATTAAAAAATGAAAGACTATTTTATCAGAAACTTATTTATATTCACCATTGAAGACTTAAGGCTTAAACTTTTTATATTCCATTCAGGGTTCGAACTGTTCGTCCTTGGATCAATGCACCAAATTTCATCAAAATATCTCAAATATTGCGGGCTAGAGTTTATATACAAAAAAATAAGACGGACAGACGGATAGACACGCTTAACTCAAATCAGAAAGTGATTTTGAACTGCTCGGTGTAATAAAAGATGAATCTATCTCAAGTCCAAGTGCAACTGAATACACCCTTTCATCGCAACTAGTGAAGGGCATAAGAAGGGAAGAGTTTGGTTAATATCAATATTAATGTCAACATTAATAGCAATTTGCCAAAACGTATCAGTTGATATTAGAAAAGAACCGTTACTGGTACTGCTTAAGAAACGTTAGCAGGAGGGAGCATGAGTGTGATTTCTACATTGACGAGACTAAATAAAAAAAGAACAGCTTCTCTAACATGTGATGAACTTTGTGTTAAGATCTTCGATGCATTTCAATTTTCACAACGACATCGTCGTTTTACCTAAATGCGTTTTCCTGGAGCATCCTTTTGGAATTTACAAAGAGGTAATGTTAGCTGCATGCTCGGTCTGGACAATAGGTCTGAGAGGATCGCACAAATTGAACTTCATTTAATTTAGCGTTTTGTAACCATCGAGTTGTATTTTGTTTTTTTCGTTCCATTGCGAATAAACGCAGATCAGTTTGGGATAGAAGCGTCATTAAAATCATTATGAGTACTTGGTCGAGAAGAGATGAATTTTTGACAAACGTCATTCTTCAAAATAATGTGAATTTTTTTTGCTGACGATTTTCCGGAATTATTGGCCGATATGTTACTATCCCGGTCTCGTAGATCTTTGCAGATAAAATATTCTTGGAAAATCGTACTGATTGTTTCTATACCGCCTTACAATTTTGATTTTTTCTAAAGCGACAGAATGAAGCCCTTCATCCCTTTTATGCGGTGCATTTTTCAGTTATTTTTGCATGACTTTCCACAATTTTCAGGGATTTCATTCCTTGCGAAATCATTGATCTGTTAATAATTTATTGAGCAAAATCCCCGTGAGCTTCAGTACTTATATCCCTTTGAAAACATTGTAAACACGTCTGAATATAGCGAGTAGAGTGTTCTGGCGGTCAGTACTCTCAATGAACGCGTGAGCGCAATAAGCGCAAGATTTGTCTGTCTTCCAATTATTATCTGCATTTTTTCGAGTATAATAAACGTGGTTCGGCAATAGTTGGCTTAAGGCGATGTATAGGAACTTTGTCGAAATGAGTGCCACAAGTTGAGCGGTGTCAAGATGAGAGAGACGAAAGAAAGATGAATATAGGCCCCTCGTAAAATAGCAAGTAGTAGCCTTAATATAAAAGGAGTTAATTCTAAATTTCGAAACCGAAAGGCATATGATGATAAAAAAACTTGTGAAATTAAGAAAGAAAGCTAACTTAGCAAATTCGAATCGAAACAATGCATGCAAATGCATACGAATAGCAGAACGCATGCATACATAAACAAACTTACTGATAATTATTAGAACATGATATATTAAGGATTTTTAGGTAACCCAAGGCCTGAAGTGCCACTATTAAAATTAAGGAAGTTTAATCTTCTTATCAAGCCTCTCAATATTATTCATCTATTTTCTTTATAAATTACTAATAATTAAGGGACTGTAAGGCCAAAGAACTAGAACTAGAACT